CCTCCTCTTCTTCTTCTTCTTCTTCTTCTTTCTCTTCTCCCTACTCTTGTAGGGCGACAGAAAACCAACAGTCTAAACTGTCATCGAAATCCCGACCAATAAGCTTACTCAGCAAAATTGTTTCCTTAAGCTTTCCCACCCAAACTGTTAGGACAGCCAAGTATTCTGCTGTAAGCTTCGGGCAAAATTACACCCTATTCTTTGTTTGTTTTCTGCTAGCTGCAAAATGCATAAAGTCGAACATGAACTGTCAACAGTGTTGGGTAAAAGCTTGCTGCCCGCAGCTGGGTGCTTTTGACCACAGGGTTTTGACGATGGTACCGATAGGACTACTTTCTCAGCGCATGTTTGCAGTGCCAGAAGCACAGGTGGGCGTACTTGGGTGATTTCTCTGCGCATGCGTCTTTCAGTGAGATTAGTGGGCGCTGGTTTACCTGTCAGCCACAAGTTCTCACGGATAAAAGCCCTTCACGTACTCCAGGTCTCTTTACGCTCGAGGCTGCGCCGGAGTACTGATCACCCCATCAACAGACTGCCTATGCGAACGCTTGTGCCGTCGTGCATGTGAGGGCAATAAGCTTATCAGTTTGCTGTCTTCGTGGTACAGGCGTGCACGTGCCCTCGAAACCACGTTGCCAATCCAGCGGTTTTAACCAATCGACGCTATATCGGCTCACCTTGTGAAATGTGAGACCAATTACCTGGCGCTGTGCTCTACCCCTCGAGAGACAGAGGATAGGGCCAAAGTCTTCAAGCTGTAGGTGCTTCAGAAGTTGGTCCATTTATGAAACAACGCGTTTTTAGCCATTCTGTCTCTGTGTGCTAAGTACGGCATCGGCGAACAGTCTCTCCGCCTCTTGCTTCTCTAATCTCAAAAGACTCGACCTCTCAGGAGGCAGCGCATCTCCTCCTCCGATTCATCTCTTCTTTAAGCATTTTTTGTTCTCATGGCCTTCACTGAAGGCAAGCAGACACAACTCGGCCACGGTCCTTACGACCCCCATCCTGATAAAGTGGATGGGGGCCGCCCAGACGATGGTGTCATAAATTCAAAGGAAAAACAAACTGATTATATGCCCATCGAGGAGCCGCCATCACCATCGCACAGTGAGGAAATAAACGGGCCGCTAAACAATTCGATGCCGAACAAAACCAGTCAGATGGCTGTTAGGATTCGCAGCAATGAACAGCCCAGCTTCCAGCAAAACGTCCGACAAAGCGGCCGAGGTCTTAGACAAAGTTTTTACAAGAGAGGCGGTCTGCCGTATATTGGCGAGAATTCTGAAGCCGTCAGCAGTAACAGAGCACTCGGCAAACCCGAAATGACAGAGCGGTAAGTAAAATGCTGTGGTAATTTAGAGAGTAGACTGCGCTAGTCGCGTTGAGACAAGTTTATACTGTGGATCATTTGACGCCATAATGATAAAGCACAAATCAACTTGCAAACATATCCGTATTTGCTTTTGTCTCTAATGATGGGTTAGAGCAGGGATCCGAAACGTCAGGCTAATAAAGCTCTTGTCCCAGTGATCGCGTCTCCTTCTTCAATAATGGAGTTTGTTTGCTTGAGTATTGAAGTAGTAGTTTATCAGAGTTGCGAAAGTTCCCGTTGAAAAATTCGAAAGGCAATTTGGCGAGTTTTGGATCGCTAAACGTAAGACGTAATTTAATCCGCTGTTTGATCGAAGGGGGGAAAAGTGTCTACACAGCTTATAGCATCGAAGAAGAGTCTAAGACCATTGAAGGGCTTTTTGGTCAGAATGGGGGTCCTGATGGATTCATTGCTAAGCCCGTAGTCGAAAGACCACCAAACTCCCCGATAATGACGGCATGAAAGAAAAGGCTTTTCATCAGGGTCCCATTTCAAGGGAACGTGCCGGGTGGACTTCTAAGAAAACGCCTAACTCAAACTGTATCACGGACCTTTCCAGCAGCTGATACCCATGTACTGCTCTCCACCAATCTCATCCTAATCGGGGAGGGCAAGGAGAACTACCAGTCCAGACTACCTCTATGTGTATTTTATCCTACACCTGCTCCTGTGGGGCAGAATATATTGGTCGCACGAGCCGGCGTTTGTCCAAAAGTGTAAAGCAAAATCATCCACCATGGTCAGGCAAGGGTCAAATAAAGAATATTAACAGCTCTATCCTCATGCACATGGTAGACACAGACCGCCGTGTAGACGCCAGAGGGGCCTTCCGAATGATTTACAAGGTTCTGTCAGGCTATCCAAAACTACTTCCGCAGCGCCTGTTGGTTACCGCAGAGGCGACTGCAAGCAGGCTACGCGAACCAGTCATATGCGCACAGAAGAACTTCGTATAAGTCCCACAGTTGCCATGGTAAAAGCAACCAAGCCAGCCACCCGCATAGAATTACCCTTCCCGGGTCTAACTTCTCCCTGACGCTAACTGGAATTTTGGTGTTCCACTATCCCCCCCCCTCAAACTCCAGCTACATCATAATTACCTACTTGCCCCTATCTTTTAATCCATTAATTCAATGACCATAAAAATGTACAGACCTGAAGAGGATTTATCGAAAACAGACGTATGCTCGCCAAATTGCCTTTTATAAGTTTATCCTCCAACAGGGGACGAGGACTGTCTCCGAAAATCCTATCTCAGAAACATGCACCAACGAGTTCCACACAGCAGCAGACACGAAGTAAATTCAATCCTCACTCTAAAACCTTTGCTAGCCTGGCGTTTTATATTCATTCTAAAGCACCCAATTCATTCTGCCTTGGATTATGGGCACGGAAAGGGGTCAAGAAGGTCAGATTATGGAAGTTTTTGTTCAAGTGATCGTGTTCTCGCCTTCTTAATCCTGTATTCTGCCAGTTCTGCCGACGCGCAGGTGAAAACGCGGTAAATAGCATGGCAAGTCTAAACTATACTCCACTACTGACCAAATTGGTGAATCAGGTGTCTTTATGAAGGAGCCATGCATTCGAACGCAGAAAACTATTCGGAGGCATGGATATGTCAATTATCCGTGTACCCACCAGATTGTAGAACGAAGAGATATCGCCTTGTTTTCCAACTGTTACATAATTCTAATAATCAGAAATTTAGGGAAACCTTGATGTCGTATGTAATGCCGGATGAGGCAGTGAGCTGCGCCTGTACCTATGTGACATCTCCGTTCCTATGAAACGGCTATGAGAGACCTGGCAAGTAGTAGCCAAGTCCCATGCTTATATGGAAGGACTGTGATTGCGGATGCCTGATGTCTTCACTGACAGTTCGACTGTCGATTTCCACGATATCCACGGTGTGCTCCACAGCAGGGTGAGAACAGGGACGACGACATGCACGTGAATTAGTTTGTAGTGGTAGTGTAGTGGTACTGCACTCTCTCCCCCTCTTCCACCTGGTTTCGGTGTCAAGACAGAGTCAGGAAGACCGGAGGCGCGGTGTGACGCAGGTGACTGGCACGGAGTAAATCCGCACCTAGGTGTACCACCACACCCCCTGGCCCACAACGCACACTGACCAGGATTTTGCACAACAATAGGAAAAGGGGTGGCTCGGATCCCGGCTGAGTGGGAGTGAAATAAAGTTTACATTAAGAAGGAGCCATGACAGCCTGTCTGTTCGCCCCGAGAGGGGGATCAGTTTATCTTATGCGTTGGTAGCCCTCCAAGCCACGGCCTTTAGCTCACCATGATAGCTTAAACGCGTGTCACCTTGTTTAATGTAAGGAGTGTGCGCTGGGGGTCGACCTCACACTCTCCCTCCTCCACATGCAACAGTCGATACTGCGAGTCGATCTAACTTCAGGTACGAAGAGAGGGCGCAGTGACTGACAGAGTTAAACAGCCCGTCTGCGCGTGCCACTCGCGACCCAGCCCTCCGCACACAAAGGGGTGGACGGCCCGTATCCCATGTGCGTGGGAGCGCCATAGAGGCCACATTAGGAAGGAGTTATCGCAGCCTGCCTCTCGGTCCACCAGTTCGCCACTCCACACAAACACACCCTGGGCTGACTGCAAGGTTCGAGTTATCCCGTCAGTTGACAGCCTTCCAGGCCACGGCTTTTAACACACCGTGATTGATTTCAGCGCGTCAGATTGTTGGTAGGGAGGACTATGCGCTGACAGTGGACCTCATTCTCTCCTCCCTCTGCCCGACCCTCCATTGTCGGAGCCGGTCAGTTGTCTGACGTGCTATTGCGTGCATTGGCTGACAGAGCTCAAATCAATCTGTCTGCACTTGCCGACACACGACCTGGCTCCCACAATATATGCTGAGTTTCCACATAAAGGGAACAGTCACACAGTCTTCGAATAAGTCTAGACACTGGCGCGTGTGTTCCTTCCTTCCCATATTCGCGTTGAGAGGCTGTGTACGGTTCATTTTTGGCTGGCAGTCTAACTTAGAAAACTGTCGAAGGAAAAAATGCCTTCTGAGTCTCTTCAGTATTCGCTGTCAAGAGTCGGTCTGTCCGGACGCGTTACAGAACGCAAGCTGCGTGGCCAGAACACGCGCAAACAGGAATGCATTTATGCACAGGAGAGCCAAAATGATCGCCAGATAAGCTCATTGGCGGGCTAGATTGATCTCAGCCAGGATCACACAGGTGTGCTCGCGCGTGTTTTCTTTTTGCATGTAATTACTCGATCCTGATGGTGGCGGTTAACGACAATGTCCAGCTCCCAAGACAGATTGGTTCACTACCAGCTTTCAGTTATGAGAAAAGTATGCACGCCTCGTTTTGTAAAATCTGGCAGGTCAGTCAACCCCCATTGAAGGCATGACGTACATTTCAACTATCGTTACCTGATTCCAGACCTTCTAATCTAAAAAAATGACTTTGCAAATTGAGGTGAACTTTGAAGATGCACACTCCTTTACTATAAACTTTTTTGATTTTGCTACTGAACTCTATCCCAGGTCTATCAAGACTGACAATTTCCCTGACTAAAATGAACTATCCGAGCGTCTATTGAGTTGAGTACATCTGATTGCTGAATTACTTTGAAAGCCGAGATTTAGGTTTTGCTCGTTGGTGATCGTGAGGTATCCGCTCATTTTACGGACCCGTGTTCTGTAATTTGGTTGTGTACGTAACAATAAGGCAGATTTTTGGCTTACTATCAAAGCTGTAGTAAATTCAATCTCTTCTGTCATCAACATTGTCATCTTTCAAAAATACCTGCAGGACTTACTAAGAAACTTCGAGTCGATTTGCTAATCCAGGGACGCGGGCACTATATATAGAAAACCTAGACTTTGCGACGTCGCTTTGCTGGCCCCAGACGTTGTTACATGCAATTTTGGACCATAAAAATCAATTGACACACTTCTAGTTTCCCTGTCACCTTCAGTTGTGCCTGACATTTGTCCAGTCTGGAATAACTGGTGATGAACTGGGATAATTTACGAACTACTCGCGTTGCATATCTAAAAATTCTTACCGTGTTATACCAGCGACTATTATTTTTCTTTTGGATCGTCGGAATCATGAAGAAAGTTGCAATTTTTAAAAATGGTACTTAGCCTAAGCCTATTGTCTCATTACACGAAGGTTGATAAAGTGGACAATATATAAGGATTTTTCACTTTTAACCGCGATGTTTTACAGCCTGGTAAACTCTTCCAGTGACTTTCGACTAGCTATACGTTTCTTCAGCCTACTTTCAGGTGGGTATTACACTTCAAGGAGTTGCCTAATTGTAGACATACAACTAAAATCTTTTCCGTTTTACTTGAGTAAGGTAGTTGAAGAAAGAACCTCAGTTTGCGAACCAGATGTCAAAATAAGGCAGGTAGGAACCAACTTTTAGGGGTATGGAAAAACTTCGATGCGACCTCTGGAATCAGATAAGCTATGTGTACCCGGGAGGAAAGAAACCAACGGACAATTGGTCTTTGAAGTCTTTAATTTCTGTATTTTTTGCCCAAGTTGCTCTCGTGTGTTGCCCAGTTTCCAGCGATATTTACCGGTGCAGTGAGGAGGAGAGGTAGGGGCCGGTTACGCTTTCCTGTTCCCAAATGTAAGCGCAATATGGGCATTGCAGGTAAGGTAAGCCGAAGGAGGATGCTGAAATCGTTTGCGGGAAAGCAGCTAAAGCTAAATTGAATTTAGGATTAGGGTTTGTGTTAAGTTTGAGGGTTCCGGTCAAAGTTAGGGTTTGGGTTGCAGTTTAGGTTTACGCCTAATGTTAAGGTTGGGGTTAGGATTATTGTTAAGGTTAGGGTACAGTTATGGTTAAGGGTTATGGCAAAAGTTGGGATTAGGGTTTGAGTTAGGGTTAAGTTTAGGGTTAGGATTTGGGCCAGGGTTAGAGTTAGGACTAGGGTTTGTGGTAGGTTAAGGTTAGGTTTAGTGTAAAGTTTAGCGTTTCGTTTATAATTAAGTTGACATTCAAAGTTACGGTTAGGTTAACCGTCAGTTTGGGGTATTGCTGTCCCACTTTTCCCGTCAGTCTGGTGTTATGCAGGGATTCTAGGTTTCCTTCAATCTCGTGACAGATTTGTCATACATCAGGTTGCTTTTTCCGTTTCGGCCTGAGCTATTTTTCCCACTAACGATTTCAACATCCCCTTCGGCTTACTTTTCTTTCAATGCCCATATTGCGCTTGCATTTGGGGCCAGGACAGCTCAACCGAACCTTGCCGAATATGAGAAAGAGGGAGAAAAATAAGAGGAAGAAGCGTAGGGGGAGGAAAAGTAGGGGAAGAGTGGGGGGAGGAGGAGGGGATGAAAAATCAGAACACAAAGATTATGATGGAGGATGAGTAAAAAGACACGGGGCGGAGGCAGGATGAATAAAGAGGCAGAAGTACAACAGTGTCAACTTTTCAGATTGGCAAAGTTGAGAGATCCGGGTTGATGATTTGATCCCATCCTTTTCTTCAAGTGTCATCTTTGAATTCGTCGTATGTGGTATTGGCACCGCTTACCATCACTGGGATTCTTCGGACGTACTCGAAAGTATCAGGTCCTCAAGGCTTGCATCATGAAGTCGAGTGATTCCCTACGCCATTTGAAGTGCAGAGACGGTTCGCATAGAGATAGAGAACGGTCAAGAGGACGCAAATGCCTCATCAAAGTTAACTACTTCTAAAAATACGTGCGTTGCGGGTAAACTAAACTTTAGGTGACGATGAGATCTGCGACATGCATTTAAGGCTCATTAATATTCGTCCATTTTCAACTACTGCAAAGCTCGACCCGGCGGCATAATTATGCCGAGTTTAACGAACCAGGAGAATCATGCGTATCGTCTACTTCAGATTTCTGCCCCAATTCTACTGTTTTGATGAATTCATGTAAAAAATGTTCTTTCTGATCCTACACGAGTAAGAAAAAAGGATAATTTTCTAGTTTGCAGTGCAAGAAATGATCCAATGCTAATACAACAGACTTTATAACACACAATTGTTTTCATCATCTTTAAAAAGTGTCGCGGCAATTTATGACACTTATATGAAGAAAACAATCCGTGCTTTCACTAATTTTAATCATTTTTTACGTTCTTGGTCGACTCCACTTTTTTACGTCTCGCAGGGATATCCCTGATCCACAGATACGGACACATTTTCCGACATTGAAGACTCCAGAAAAACGATCATTTTCACTAAATCATCAGGCCTAGGCAGGTACTTAAATCAATAGTCTAGAAGAATACACCAAAAGAGTAGGCTCTGAATTTTGAAGACTTCAGAATAACAGGACACTATATGAGTATGTACAGTTAGAGGTGAGTAGTTAATCGGGTGTGGAGATTAGTAGATTTTAGGAAGCATAGGAAGAAGGGGATGATAGAGAGATGAGGGTGGGAGCGAAGATTGGTTGTCACGAGGACTGTATCATACGGGTGTCTGGATATGATAGCCACTGAATCTGTGTCATATCTTCGCGCGTAGAAAATGGGGTCCTTTGGGGGCAGTTTCAGCTGTTGCAGTGACCTTTTGTACAGTTCTGTTCTTCTAAAATTCTTTAAAGGTTTTGCTACAGTCAATCTGATGCGGATTTGTCACCATCTGTTCCAGGTTGGAACTGGAAGTGGCCTTCCTTTCGTTTTTGTTCCTCATACAAGCAGATGCTCCTTATTTCTCCTACAAATCGTCTGGTCTTTCGACCGAGGTGGCCTCTTACCTCAGAAGAACAAATACCTGAGTAGATACGTAGGCAGTCGTAAACTTCCGCTTCTCTTTGCATCCCTTGGACAGGTGGTTATGAAGAGCACTAGCATTTAAGATGTCTTAAGTGTTCTGGCGAAAGCTATAGATACTATGTGACTTAATAGTTCACTATGAAACTCAGCCGAGTACGGCTTAAGTTAGCGAATTTTCGTCTCCCATTGCGATTGTGTTCAGTTCCGATACGCATTCGTGTTCCCAAGTGATGAACGCCCGGTTTAACTGTATTCCTGAAGGCATTATCCTTACTCTTACATCCCGGAGGAGTCTATTCTCTTGTCCTGTCGGTCAGCCATCTAGTTAAAATTATGGTTATCTAAGGGATTGAAACTTTAAAGCTCGTATACTGTGTTGCCCATGTTGGTTCTTGAGCGATTATTCGGCGGTTTGCTCTTACAGTCCCGTCTGGTTGATGCCACAAGGTTAGCTTCCTAAAACAGTGTTAGTTAACATGCCTAGCTTAGTCACTCGCTAGATTAGAAAGAGGAGAGCGCAATCAGAGCTGGGAGCATGCACAGGGAAACCGGTATGGAGCAATGCTTGGTATAACTGGGGGTGGCTTGTACACACCCCGCAACACAGCCACTCTCTGTATTAAGAGGATGAGGGGGATGCAATCACAACTGGAGGGCCATGAAGGGAGCCGTGTGTCAATTCGCAGTTCATGGACTCTATAGTGAAATCAACGGAGTTCCACTCCGTTCGAACATTGCCATTAGAAAGCCTTCTTTGTCACTTGCTGGATTAAGATAGTAAAAAGGGCGCATGCCGTCGACATACTGAACATAGTAATTAGGTGTACCAACGAGTGCCTGCAATTGCGTTCGTCTGAATATTCCTATGAAAATTAGCAAAAAAGATTCTAATGGTGGCGAACTGGCAAAAACTTCCGTGTGTCAGTAAATACGCCCGGGAGATTTAATTCCACGTGGAAAGTACACCTGCACGATAGATCCTTTAGAGCTGCCATCGTAGATCGTGTCTTCAGTGTTTTTACGCCTTTACCTAACAATCCTATTTGGGTGAACGCTGATAACCATTAATGACACACTGAAAATAAGCATTGTTTCTCAATCTATATCCGATTATTTTATAAATTTGACAAAGTTAAATGTGTTAAGTATACAATGGGGAAAGAGTAAGGTGTGAAGAGGCCTTATTTTACATGAAAACTCCTTTGAAACGGAATGGTACGTCAAGTTCTTCATGCTTTCTATCGGCTGAATAGGGAGTTTCTAGTAACACCTCTAACCTGAGGTGCTGACATCCGTTTTCAACAAGTCCCCAAACACCATGCAATCGATTAAAGTAAGCCTTCAATCTTTACTCAGTGTCATCTGCTTGATATTTTTCTCGATCCAGTTAGTTCCATCTCCTGGGCAACATTTAGCCTCCTGTTGTAGTCATCTTTTTTATGAGTAAGATTCAAATGCTTTTATCTGGCTTTTTCGGACGGATAAAAGTGTTTTGTTTCAGTTATTCAAAGTAGATGGACTTGAGGGAGTAGAGCGTGATCGTAGGCTCTCGGTCTACATATTCGTAGCAGCTTTTGCCTGGATAGATTTTAAATACCCTGGTTTTTATGTTGATCGTTTTACATCGTGTGTCGGTCAAGCGAGATTTTCACAGGATAATCGACTAGGTGATTCTGTACCACTTAGCGTGTAAACAGACAACAGTGTTGACAAGTTATTAACGTGCCATTCGAGACGGCCAATGGAAGTATGTTCGAGGTATTTTTTGTTCTACATTTTGATGAACTACTGTGCACGTGTACTCACTTTGCGCTCCTGACCGGCGCTAGGGAGGTAGAATGATGTAAGGTGCAAATGCTACTTTTTCCAGAAATCTTCGATCGTGGTTTTAGCGCCCACTAGGTCCTGGTGTTGCAGGCGTTGCAAACCTCCATACAGTCAGTGACCGATCTCATGAAATGTTGACTAAAAGCCTGAAATGCGTTTTCGATTGGGGAGGATTACTTACGTGAGGTCGCAATATTGATTATCATGCGCCATAATCCTCCGATATTTCGAACCTACCAGGATGCTGGCATTTTTGGCCGCCTGAATGGACCGCAATCGGAAAAAACGACTCCTCAAGTAGCATGCATTTTTATATTGATTTCTGATGACTTTAAATACTCTCACATATTTTGAAGAAAGAATGCACAAAATACGTTTTCTTTCACTCATTTGGCAGCAAATTACATCGCCTTCGCATTTATGCTCGAAGAAAGGGCATATTTAGGTTTCGAATAATTTTGAGCAACATCAACTGTTGGATTAGCGTTTAGCGATTTCAGGCTACAAGGTGTGTATTTTCCGCGTAAGGAAGATCATACACTTTTCTGTACTTATAAGAAGATACCATGTACTATTAGTACGATGTGTACGTCATGAGGAAAACTAACAAATGAACAGGTACGATACTGTACTAATGAACATTGCATGGTCTTAAAAATCTCATTGTAAGAAACTTTGTTTAAAGCCAAAAATACCTTTCTTCGAGTATAAAACGTGAGGTCGACATAATTTGTCTGACGATAATTTTCTGAAAACTGCTGTTCATCTAGTTATATTTTATGAAATTAATAAATGAAACGGTTTGCGAGCCTGAACATCTGTTGTTACATGTTGTAAATTCTTAGTCTACTTTTCTCCTACAGAGTTTCTCCTGCTGATGGAGAGGAACGTCCCAAAAAATACCCTGTCGCAACCTTCGCGAGGAATTCTCAGATTCGAAATCGACCACCAAACCCCGTGGTATATTCCACTTTTGTACTAAAATGGATATATGCTATAGAAAATAGGTGCCGAAAAATCAGGCAGAGTAAAACTCCTGCATGTGATATCCCTATAAATCAAAAGACAACAGATAAATGAACATTTTTGGAAGTTAGGAGGAAAATCATAGTCTATTATCCTTATGATATGTACATGTGATGTAGATGAATAAGACCCTTGGGGTGTGCTTGTGGTGGCTGCAGTTACAGGTGATGATATTATAAGCTCTTTAGTTTGTGCGCAAACCGAGGGTGTTCAGGAATAAGGAAAGTACCACCAGTGCCTCAAAAGTGTTAAAGACTTGAGAAGGAGCCTAACTTTGGTGAAGGGAACTTGCGCAACCTCTTAATAGTTTTCTCTTTCCGCCCTCATAGTGTTCCAGTGGTGTAGGTACGTCAAGAGAACAACTATAGTTCACCTTGAAAATCCTTTTAATCCATGCTGATAAACCGTCCATGCTTCATTTTTGGCACCAACTTCTTCCGCATCTCCATATTCTTGTTGAGAAGGAAGCCAAATATGTTCCCTACGTAAAATTGTAGCCTTCCTAAGGCCTGACCAGACTGGGAAGTTCAGATTGCGACGTTGCTGCAAGTACAGTTTCCCAATCAACACTTTTCTTTGGAGCCGCAGGACGATGGCGATAGAGAGTGGCTGTTTGCGGCAAGCATTTGCGGGCTTGCTTCTATTTGCGCAAGAAGATAGTTTCTTCGATATGGACATTTGGCCTAGGGTTTACACGTTAACAGTTAAAAAGTCCCTAACAGATATTCATTCACACTTCTATTGTAAGTTCCAACGCGCTGTCGTCAACGAACATATCATGTATTGTTCTTTGGAGGAGTTTGTTGAGACATAGCTTTTTGAATGACAAAGAACTTGACTTTGGTTCAGAAGTCGACCTCGAAAGCTTACTGTCGCTCTCTGTACAAGTCCAGCAGTACTCCGAAGAAAACGAAACTAAGAAGATTTGGCGCTAATATGCAGTACGGTTTCACTTTATGTGTCCTATAGAGGACACCCGAGATCGACCCTTCATTGTTACCGTACATTGCATGCAATTTCAGAGTAAAGTCATAGAGAGAGCTAAATAGTCAGAACTTCCAGAGTTCTACCTGAGACTATTTCTGCTCGAGGTTTCGCAGGCCATTTTGAAATCTACAAAGAGGACTGGAAGCCAATTCAAATTTCCAGGCTTTTTCTGAGGCTGTCGCATTGCGGTGATCAAAGCAATGAGTACTCTTTGGGCAGCATACATAGCGCTGCTATTAGGAATTCCTCTTCGGGCTGTGGCATTAGGAAGTGAACCAAATCCGCACAAGGAGGTACGCCACCAAATTAAGCAAGATGTCCTAGTGTTTGCGGAGACTTACCGGTTTTCTTTGCGCATCTGGAATTTTGTGGCATCTCCGTATTCTCCAGAGATTTCCACTTAAGTCCACACGCTTAGAACAGAAGCCAGGTTCCTGATTAGCTGAGGGTTGTTGCAGTTAAAGATCTAAGTATAATCGAGGTACAGTCTGAGTCTTTCCCAATGAAGAGGTAAAAACCTATCTGATGCAGCTCCTCATCCTGGAAAAAAGCCGTGGACGGTTCAAAAATGAGTAGTCTGACAGCCAAAGACCACCGAATTCGCGGGCAACTGTGCGGTTCCGCTTAAAATAAGCGACAACGAGATTTCGGTGGACAAGACCGTAGGCGACCTTGATGTCCCAGAAGATTTTTCCTACTTCATCCCGGCTAGTACTTTTGTGAACATTCCCTGAGACTTGATGCAGCCAGGTTTTTAAGGTTTCCACTTAATCATCAAAGTTACCATTCGAGCGTCGTGACTGAGGCTTTTCTTTCGAGAGTTATGTTGGCCTGAGTAACTTTAAGAAGTTATTTCCGTTCAGACAAAATTTTCTTAGCTTATTCTTCCTTTCTGTTGGCCCCGACTTTGCGTCCGGGTCTTAGGGCCTTTGACGCAGATGTTTATGTCATTCCTTGCTGTGCACCTCATCTGATAGCATCGTCCTTCTCCTCTTCGATGAAGACTTGCTCTATTTTGGTGGTCATGTAACACGCACATTCTCTTCAACAGTTCAGTGTGCAGCCTACTTAGCGCGTGCTTATCTTGAGATTGCCTTTATGGCTGGGTTAAAAATACCACTACACACCCTCCTCTTGAGTACGTAGTCCTTTGCGCGTTAATTACGCGAGGGTCGATGGGTTAATTTTCTTACTCGACTAGGGAAGAGAAAGTAGTTTTTTATGATAAGTCGATTTATTCCGCTCAGATATTTAATTTTAAAACCCAGTGCGTGCTTATGTTGCCGACTTCATAGCATCTTTCCAGGTGACGTAATCTTTACCAATCGGCTTACAGATATCTCTATGACTAAAGCCGCGTGCACGAAGATGACGTGAGCCACCACAGCACCTGTCTATCACGTCCTTGTGTGTGGTTATCAAATGAGAGTGAGCATCGAAAATTGCCGCGAATACACTTCTGGAAAATGGTAGATTTAATCTAGTTGGAAAGCCACTACTTTTATTAAGAAATGTGGGAAGTTTCTCTACGTGATCGTTCCTGGTGTCAAAAGGGACTCCTACGTCACGGCATCCCTTTAATAGCATCCTCCGTCGGCTTCAATCAGTTGCTGCGGTTCAGAACAGCCAGTTTTGATGAAGGCAACACCCTGGCTGCTGTGAGCTGGAGGGCAACCACAACTGTTCCCCTTTCTGATAGGGGGTTTGTCGAATTACCTATAAGGAAACAGAAGCTAGAGACTGCTAGACTGGACAAAATGAATGTGGCGGGAAGGGTGTAAGAAAGGCTGCTTTTCGTATTTGTGGAGTTTTGATAGTGGATACCTCCCTCCCAACAGTGAAGTCCCGCTGACCAGTTGGGTAAACAGGCGGATTGTAGGTGCATATGCAGTAGATGGCCTATCTCATGAAATGTTAATCGAAATTCTGGAATACGTTGCCGACTAGGAATAATTACTTTTAGGTGGGAGACATGATATTTCAGTCACGCCAAGATGCCGACTTTCGAATGCTCTTTTTCCTGGTCACCTGCAAAACCACTCTTTCTATAAAACTACTAGTTAATTAATGTGTATTTTTCCGTTTATTTTCAAAGTCATTATGGATTTAAATGTATTTAAAAAAGTGTACAAAAGCACGTTTGCCTGTATTTAGGTGGTAGAAACTTCTGACTTCCTAAAATCTCAGGCTTGAAGAAAGGGTAACCTTCGGTTCTAAAAAGACCTTTTCTCTTATTAACTCTGGAACTTATTTGCAGTTGCATTTGTCTTCAAAGTGCCCAAATTTCATGCTGTATGCTTCCCGTGTAAGAAAAGTCGTATGTTCCTCTATGCTATTAAGAAGGTGCCATATAGGGATCATGAACTTTGACAGTGGAGGTGGACTAAGCTATCAGTTTTCTGAAACTGAAATATTACCTTACTTAGAGTATAAGATTTTGGAAGACGCCATCCACCATCAACTTAGTTCAGGAAAGAATGCTTTGTGCATATTTTCTTTAAAATATAGTTGAATTTGTTAAGGCCTCGAAAATAAATAAACAAATCATACTACCTAAGTAATCATTTTCATTAGGTGGTAATTTTGTACGTGGATGGGCAGCAGCTCGTTCAACATCCGCATCCTAGGGTGACAAAGTTAACTCGAGATTATATTGCAAGATATTCAATACAAAAACACCCGGGTAACCATTTTTGACCGAAAATACAGTTCAGAATCTCGGTTAACATTTCATCAGAAAGGACACATACTCTACTTTCTTCTTGTCCGACGATTGCGAAGTTATGGAGCTCGAAAGTCAACAGTAACCCACAGAGGGGACGAGCCTAGCATCTCAGTGGGAGGCGGTGGCAGCGAAATAGACATGTTACACAGACAGTTCCTACAGAACAAGGATAAAATCAGCTCTATGGACTAAAGTGGTGGAGTAAAAGAGCCCCACTCAACTACAAACCAAAAGTGCTTTCGTAGGAATTTTCCGTCGTCAGAATTTCTAACGTCGTCATGGTAGGAATCGTGTGTTATCATTCTCTTCGAAATTCACACCGGTACCAGCCATACTGTACGTGGCGACTGTTGGAATCAGGTTGTGCAGACCGCTTTCGCGTCTCCTCCCCGGCCTCCTCGACTTGACCTTCTCCACTGGATTGCTTTCAGGATTAACTACAGTTTCAGAAGCGGGACGTCTCTCCCGTTACTCCTGCAAAAGTGTTTTCCGGGTCCTCTGATCAATTTTGGGGTATTTTGGTGACATCTTTCGAGTGTCATTGAAAATGTCGGTTTATCGACAAGCTTAGCACCAGCGTATTTTGTAGGCGGCGCCCAGGACTTTTTCACACGTCTGCTACACTGCGCCGATTTTTCTGGAAAGGTAGCGGATGACCAAGGCTATTATCGGCTAATACTTGCGTCGGTGTGTTAATGACTTTAACATAGTCATCTGTTGGACACTAAACGCGCTCCTTCAGTACTCGACCGTGCACCCCAGGATCCAAAAAATGTCTGACTGCCGGATAGTAAGCTGTAAAATGCACGACGGCGACCTTAAACTCGATCCGGTTTCGTAGACTGTGTTGATAGTTATGAAGATTTTCCCGTGTTCTTCACGCTTCGCGTGTCCCTGGTTTTCACGCGCCTTGCAAATAAAACAATTGTTTTGCACCTCTCACAGTCTTTGGAACAGTTTACTTTAGTGTCTGGTAAATACTGTCTTGCTTGTGACGCAGATGCTGTTTGTATGGCCTTGATTCTCCTCAGAGGGCAGACTCCGGAGATATGCGCTGTTTTCAAAGAGATGGCCTTTGTTTTTAGTCTGCAGGTCCTAGGAATTCCATATGGTGTGAATGACGTCCCGCATCCTCCAAGAATCCACCCTTCTGTTCTTGCGTGTCCTACAGTTTGACGTTTGCTTTGCGGGTGCGATCCCGTCTGTGCTCGAGATGGTCTTATGCTGTAATATCTTATCACTTCGGTGCTGCCTTCCCCAAGACCATCTTCCCGGTTGGATCTGCAGCCCTTCTTCGGGCTGGCCAGACAACCATTGGTTTAGCATTTCCCACCACGCGACATTTCGACCGTCACGGACGACGACGATGACACGACGTCCACGACGTGCCTCACCAAGTGCGCACGTGAAGTAGTTTATATTGAAACAAATCTGCACCGCATCTGCCACGCTCACTCCTCCCTCACCTACCAGGCTCTAGTGGTAGTAAGACAGAGTCAGAAAGAACAGAGATGGGCTCTGCACAGTGGCTGACTAGGCATGCCACACACGGCCTGGTCCATACTCTACGTGCACCCGGTTTTATGCGTGGGCGGCTCAGATCTCAGACGACAAGAGTCTCATAAAGGCCACAGTAAGAGGGGGCCATTGTGACCTACCTATCTGTTCTGAAAAGGAACGAGTTGTTCAGTCAGCTGGTACCCTTCAAAGTCACGATCCTTAACGCGTTGGGATAGATTAAGACGAATAAGATTTGTTGCAGTGAGGAATGGATTGCCTTGTCGGGAAGATGAATTCTCCAGTTTCGGCATCATTTGACTGTCCGGGGCTGTCAGAAAACTAGTGATGGGATTGGACACAGTGATTGTCGCAGCATCAAGGCCTACATCAAGGCGTGCCAAAAGACCCTTCTAATGTACGGCAGTAGCCATGGCCTCGTGCGGACACAGAGTGGCCTGATTTACGCATGCCGTTGGTCAATTTGGTCCCAGTTATGGTTCAGCGTATTTTCAGCGTGGTTTATCGGCCATAATCAGATCTGAAAGTGAATTTTAGCGGCAGTTGCCGAAGGCACTCTTTCTGATAATTGCCTCTTGTGGAGGCAAGCAGTGTATCCCTTAAGTGGACTCGCTGGACATTCCAGCTTGTTGCCGAATCTCACTATGGCTGACTACTTGGTGCAGTAAAAAACGGCCCGAATTAGCGTGAGCTGTCTATAGCATTTCGTATCGCCCTCTCTGTGGGGCCTCTTTTAAAAGTGAGTTTGTTGGAGGGGACGGAGTGCTGAAGATGATTTGCCCGTGAAAAGAAAGTAAAACAGACCTGCGTAGGATCGGTCTTATGCTCTCCCAGTCTTGTTGTGATCCAGTGCAGAACTACGTCAGAAAGGCCGAATAAATGGACAATGAATTTCCTGTATTTGACCGTTTGAGGTCAAGCGTTAAGTTTCGATTCAGCTGCTGCCAGATACCCTAAGAAGAACAGAAATTCGAATTGATCAACGATGGCCGAATTATCGATTGTCCCCAAGCTGCTGCTCCCGTTCCCTTCCCCGAATTCATAAAGCGCCGCCAACATAGAAAAGCCCCATGCCACGTCGACCTCAGCATTTCTATTGCACGACCTGTTCTAAGCCAACGAGTTCCGCTTGCGTGATCTGGAGATGCGCAGGGGCTTTGCAGGTCACATGCCCGAACTTGCAGCCAGTAGGTTGCTGTCCTCATTCTTGTCAAAATTAGGTAGACTGGTGACCCTGATAGGCGAACTGAACTCATGGGGTATAAATTTACAAACAGCATCCGTATTTTAATATTTACCACGAATAGATGATTGACCGGACTAATTAGTGGTTTAGTTAACCAGAATGTACTGTATATGCCTGCCTGCAGTTACACAAAAGCACTTGTTTGACAAAAGTCAAAACCCAACTGAGAGCCAAATAATTCAGTTAAAGTCGAACTGAAGCCCCGTAATTCTCCACCGAGCCATACACGCAGGCTCCGAGAAGGGCCATTTGTGTCAAGTGCAATAGGTCACCAATAATTCTGGCATGGTTAGAGAATCACATATTTATGATTATTTCTTGTCTGGGGCCTAGACTGGAGCCATCCCATGTGAGCACAGAGCGCTGGAACTCTAAAAAAAGTGGAATGGACCATTTCAATAAAATATATACCTACTAGCTTGTATGTTTTGCCTTCTAGAGTCGGTTAATCTGGTTACAACTGTCATCAACAATGTCAGTGGTCATAAGTATCTAGTTATAAAGGCAAATCCCCTCTGGCTTGATTGTTCTGTGGCGCGATATCCTTATCTTTGAGTGGGCTTGAGCTAAAACAGTGCCTACCAGTTTGATTATTTTTGAGATTTTTTCATTCGGGACGTTTAAACCCTGAAATGGAATCATTTGGTACATTTTAAGCGAACGTCAGTTAAATTTAAAGGCATTTGGCGTCCTAAATAGTATAGGAAAATATAAGACGCAAAAATATTGACTTGTAGACAGAGCAAAGCAGCAGGGCAAGAATGGATTCACTAATGTTGTATTTCCGCATGTTAGGTTTTTAAGCCTGCGCCCACTAACTTCTCTATCAAAAATTTCACGAGAATTTGCTTCGCTCACCGTCTGGTATTGCTCTTGTAGTTAACCATCTCCAGGGGCCCACAACCGGTTATTTTAAACCTCCCTTCTCCAGTCCCCGGCCAAACGTAAGTGAATGCCATTCGGTCTGTTAGCGATTTCTGCTGAGTAACATTAATGTTGTCAATTCTTGATCACATACAGTCTGATAGAAGGGCCCCAGCCGTGCATTTTTTATTGTCTCATGAATAGAGTCATGTCAAGGGTATAACTTACAGGTCTTCCAGCTCCGAAAACGATGCAAAGTAAAACCAAGTTTTAATTGCATTCCACTTATTGCCCTGCCTTTAGGCAGCATCATTTAGTTCTATTATTGTTAAGGATGGAAAATACTCGAACCAAATAACCAATTGCGAAAGATTCGGTGGTCTTGGCGGAGTTCAAACTCCCAACGAAAGCGGCAAGACTTGAGTACTGCTAGCACTCTAGCCAGTTGTGTTACTCGTCACCGACTCAGAACCTTGGGTTCTAGCATCTGGAGCAAATTTTTTTTGATTTACGAAAGACTAATGAATGCGCATTCTACTCACCCCTCCATTTGTCACGTCTCGAAAACTAATATCGATTTGATCTGGTTAGGAACTACTGAAGAACAAGTTCAAAACATAAACCCACTATCAAATTATTCGAACGGTTCTATGTTCTGCCTCCAAAACCGCGCCTTTCAGAAAGAAACAAACGATCGGCCGACTACCAAAGTGTGCCATTGAAAATAAGTTTTGCATTCTTTTTTGCCCAAGAACTTCTTTTATATAACCAAACGTAAAGAGTTACTAACGAATCCGACACGCGGTTTAGAACTGAATCAGTAGCTAAATTTGTCCCAGCCGTTCATGGGAGACTTGCCGAATCCAGGGAAAGACATCGAGTCTTCGCCCTTCCAGAACATGTTACTGCCTCCTCCGATCTTGTCCATATGATCGTTCATGAAGTTGAAGCCAGCACCAAAGTTGTCAACGAAGCCGAAGCCCTTTCCCTGTCCGGAGTATTTTGGAGTTCTACTGTGGCGTTCTTCTAAGTCATCGTAGGTTTTATCGAGAGCTTCATACTTGGAGGACAGGTCAGTATTGTGCAGCGAATCAAATTGTTGGTCCATAAGCTCCACACCATCGTTTAACTGTTCTTCACGTCCTGCCAGTTTTTGGTAGCCCTCTTCAAGGTCAACACTCTTGAGGTAGTCCTCTGAATCATCGAGCTTCTCACGGCCGTATCCAAGCCTGTCAAATTCCGATTTGAGTTGCTGGAAGTGGGGTTGAGGTTCAATTTTTTCAAAGTGACGGAAACCTTTGTTAATCATGGCATCACCATCTGATAACCTCTGAGCTTCAACCGCAAAATGCTCTTCACTGGGGTGCATTTCCATTTCACTTAGTTTTCTTTCTCGGTCCTTTAAGTAGTCAAGAGTATCGTCTAGTTCGTCCATCTCGGCGTAAACCCCAAAGAAAGGCTTGTCTATGTGCTTGTTGCCCAATCTTGCAAAACCTGTTTCCATGAGTTTTCCACCCTTCTGAAGGTAGTCTGCCTTCTCCTCCAGTCGATCGAGGCTTGGGTGAAATTCCTCTGGGCGCAGTCGGGACTCCAGGTTCTCAAGGCGCTTTTCAGCGCTCTCAAACTTGTCCTCGTGGAAGGCAGAATCCACGGGTCTGTGAAGCTTTGCCGAATACTCGTGATGCTTTTCTTCAACAGACTTCAACTGAAATTCCTCTGGCTTATAACCAAGATCAAATTTTTTCCCGAAATGCTTCCTCTCAGCGGGCTCGAAAAACTTGGTGGGAGCCTGCTGTTTCGCATGTAGTCGTGTCGACGGGGCCTTAAACTGGTCCAGTTTGAGTTCGGCTGCCGGCCTCTCCATGGGCTTTTGTTTCTCAGTGAGTTTTCCGAAGTCAACATCGAAATCCTTCAAAGGTTTCTGGATTGGTCGGTCACGCCTCCTCAGGGGCTCTTTACCAAGATCAAACTTCTCGAAGGACTCTCGTTGCTTTAGGAGACTCTTCGTGCCCCGCTCATACTTCCGTTCTTTGGGCTGGTCTCGGACCCTGTAGGCCGAAATTTCAGTTGCCACAAGAACAACGATTAGGAGCGCAAGAACGAACTTCATGTTTGTAGGGCCTATGGTTTTTCCATGACTTTATATTCGTTGAGTGCTGTCAGAACTCCCACAAATCTACGCACAAGTGCAATCGATTTGGCCGTTCGCTGCGTTGTAATCAGAACTCAAAGGTCATGAGCGCAATTAGAATCGCCTGAATTACTTGATCCTTGACAGAGCTTGTCCTTATATTACCCTAGATACACTTTAACCCGTAGTACAAGACGGGAATAGTTAATGCTTCGCGTTCTAAGCTATAAGTTCAGTTCAGTCGTTGTAAAGTAACAGTAAACATTTGCCTGCATTTAAGGGAGATTGGCGTAGTATTAACTTTTTGCTCGAAGGTTGCAATGACGAACATGATTTAGTGCTTCGTCTCCAGAAAACAGTGTTCTTTGGAATCTTTGAAGTCATAGAGTTATTAAAATATGCCTTTGTCTGCCTCTGTAAAAAGACTTTAGTAAATCGTCTTAAAGTGAGACTGATAAAAGGTCGAAGAGAGATAAACTTCTCGCTGAATAATGGAGTACCTGAATATCATTTGCAAAACAGCAAGCTCCTATCGGCACCGGAACTTAGGAACGGTAGACTTGGGTCAGGTAACCGTGTTTGCGCAAGATAACTAGCATTTAATATGTTGTCCTTCCTACAGCCCTCATTTTCTTTTAGCACAGAAATACTTAAATGTGTGTCGTCTTATTACTACACAGCTAGCTGAAGCGAGTATTTATGACTAAACAATTTTCTGTACATCAGACAAATTAAGATGAATGTAGGCGGAGAGTTGTTTGAGAACTTTTAATAACTTGCTTAGTAACGACCATGACAACCCACAACAATATTTTAAAAAAAGTTTATCGCTACTTTCTGCCTATTATTACTTTAGATGCATTATCATTTAGAACATATATACGACTATGTCCCCACTGCGCACACCTGGCCAAAGTGAGGACGGCTCAGATTACACATGTGTGAGAGTGCCATAGAGGCTACAGTTAAGAGGAGCCCTTGCGACCTGACCGTCAGTCTTAAGGAGGACCGAGGGTCCCCACCATTTAGCATACTTCCAAGCCACAATTTTTAGTGCATCAGACGTTTATATTGCGTAATGTCCCGGAGGTGGGGGTTAGACTACTCAGAGTCTGTCTCACCATCTCTTACCTTTCTTATCCACCACTTTGCTATACACGCCTGACAAGTAATTGACGATGGGACTAGACGCAGTGGCTGACATGGCTAGGCGACCCGTCTACGCGTACCACGCACATGACCTGAACTCGCCAGTGCACGTGTCAGGGAACATCAAAGGACATGTCTTCAGCTTAAGTGCAATGTGCGGGCTTTTATGCGACGTTTCCCTCGCCATATCGACATCGGCAAAGTAAATAGCATACTTTCTGCAGAAGTGATGCATGATGTGCGACGCAGGTGTATCGTGTACGCGCGTTTTATGGGGTATTTTCGCGTGTAACGCAGGGTGTGTTTGCGCACAGCCAGTGTAAAGTGCTGCGATTGAGTCGACCAAAGAAGATTTGCAAATCACAGGTCGGGCAAAGCAAAGTTACAGGACAGACTTTACTGAGATGAAGGAGTGTAAACGCAGCCCAGCAGGTGGATATGGCAATAGGTCTCTTCAGCCAAGTGGCAGACGTTGAGACTCTGGAGAGAAACGCACGCGTGCACCTGAACTTTGTCTGCAGACAACCAACCAACAAAGGACGCACCGTCGCTTGATCTAGAACTCTCGCCATGCTGTTGCCAAGTTTAGCGCGACTCAACCAGCCGACTGGCAGGGAGTGTGAGGCAGACTGAAGTTGGCGTGAGTAAGCGGCCGCGTGGGTGCCCGAGAGTGGCGGACTACCACATCGTCCGATAGGCCCATACGGTGGCCGGATGGCCTGGGACTGGGTGGACAGGTGGGGCGGAAGTAGCAAGTGTATCATGGTGTCCTAAGGACTGATTCGTCAACCACAAGGCGGCTTATTCAAAATTGACTCATAAGGCTGAGTGTGATATGAAGTCGTGACCACAATTGGAACAGTTTGGAACTGAGTCCAAACCGCTGTTGTTGGTGTTCGTAAGGCGGATGAGGAAGTAGGTGAATGGATTTATTTCTCCCACATTATTGATGATGACAGCGGCCTTTGCGGACTTGATGAGTTAAGCAGCTTATGATAACGGTGATTCCGGAGGTACTCCAAACTCCCCAGGATGTCGGTATTTGAATGAACTTCTTTTCGACCCCCTATAGAAACTACACTCGGTAAAAAATGACCGCTTAAGTAGCGTGTATCTTCTACATTGATTCTCGATGGTCTTATAAATTCAAAGATTTGTTATGGAAAACATGCAAAAAAATAGGTTTTATTTTTCTTGTTTGGTAGAAAATGACATTTTCTTTACATTTTATAACCGAAGAAAGCGTCCATTTAAGTTTCAAAAAATTTGTAATTATGAGATTTTAAAACCGTGCTATGTCCATACATACAACGTCGCACATCTCCGTTTACCAATGCTCCTCGTGAAACGTACAACATAGTCCACATCCATTGCAAAATTTTATGAAGTCAACATGGTATCTTCTTAAAGGCATAGAGGAATATATGATTTTCGTTGTGTGGAAAGCATGCACCTTGTACAATGGAAGCGTTAGACTGCAATACAACGGCTGATCTGGCCCAAAATTATTGGGGAATTCGGAAACTTTTTCAGAACCTAAATGTTCGTTTCCTTCGGACATACAATGTAAAGACAATGTTATTTTCTACCAAACAAGTAAAAGCAAACATATTTTTGTTCATGCTTTCTATAAAAAATCTTTGAATTATTAGACCGTTGAAAATCAATGTGGAGGATACACGTTACTTAGGTGGTCATTCTTCCCGGGTGCAGCTTCTATAGGAGGTCGAAAAGAAGTTCATTCAAATACCGGCATCCTGGCGAGTTTAGAATACCATGGGATTTTGTCGTTTGATAAGCAGCATTACAACCCCCCTTAAGTAATCCTTCCTAACCAAAAACACATTTCAGAATTTCAGTCAACATTTCGTCAGACCGGTCACGCAATGTACGGTACGTGCTCTGGACATCAGTTGGTAGTGCGGTCATTTGGGTAGTTGTCGAGTGTTCGCCGCATCCATCCATGGTCTCCGAGATTTATGTGACAGCAGTTCGCCTGTCGCAGCGCAGCGGATTCGCAAACGGCCAATCAGGCCGACCTGTGGTGTGAAGTTGCGCTCCCGAGCGGGACAAGTCGGGACTTACCCCAAGCCCATTTCTCTAATGAGGTGGGCGCTGCTGTTAATGATAAGTGAGATGGGGGACAGGTTAATGGATACATTTCTGCAAATGCGCTGGTTATAGCGATCCTCTGTGTCGCTGAGACGAGTTGGGCGTATCGTCGTGGTGCTGGATCCGAAAACGTCCGTAGAGTCCGACGCAACCTTTGAATGCCCGTATGCAATCCGAGCACGTTGGTAGTTGCTGGATGTTTGAAACATTCATCCACAGTCTATTCTTGTGCTTTCCTGTGTGCTTTAGCCTTTTATATGCAACGAGCTCTGTAGATTGCGGTTCCAGTTCTCATGGCAGTGCGTTAGGCCTCTCGATTCCGGTTAGGGATTTCGCAGGTCACAGGATGCTCTGTCTACCTTGTCTGCGATCACTCAGAGTGACGTCATCGTAGAACAGCCGCTTGGACAAGTGTCCGTCATCCAGTCTGCCGACGTGACCTCTCCAATTGTATTCATCCCAGCATGACATCGATACTGCGAACTCCTCTTCTTTGCAGGAATCCTGTGAAGGGCATCCTGTTCTGCCGCCTCAAATCTTGCGTCGTGGGAAGGCAGCTTGGGGTAAAGTAGTTGAGTCTGTCGAGTACTATGACCGAAAACTTGAAGATTCCCAAATCAGAAGAGAGGGATGACAGAGTTATAGAACAACCTCTTCTGAGTCAAGAGGGTGTACACGCGCCCCAGTAGGCAGTGCCAGAAAACGTTCTCACCAGTCGTCTCAGTTGTTTAGGCTGTTCGTCGCGGCGTAAAGTATGCGTCTGCGGCTGCGACCAACTGATGACAACAAAAATATCGACTGGCGTCACGGCGTCGGTGGGCCGAAAGCTGGTCATAGGCTCCCAAGTAAAAGTTGACGGGCGTGCTAGGTGTGGGTAGGCAGCGCACTAGGGACCGTGAGAGCGCACTGCCACACGTTTTCTTGCTTGAGTTTCGTAAACTGTCCAGGTCTCCGTCACGTACAGGAACGAAGGCAGGATGCCAGCTCAATGTAGCAACTTCGTGTCCAGATGAAGGCCCTGGCTATTCCAAATTATACGTTTCCGTAGGCCAAAGTCCTGGCAGAATTTTCGGATTTGACTTGCAATTTCATCGCCAACCTTAATGTTTTTTGTGATTATGCTCTTCATGTAGGCGAACCCGTCCGTATGTGTGTGACATACATGTGTGCGTATACTTGCATGCTTTACGTGATGCTGGTTTTCGTCAGACATACAAAAATCAAGCAAATGATCGGGTAGTGGGCTCCAGTGAACCTGCGAATGCCCAGCTGAAGCCGAGTTCCGACTTTCGACCTCATCCGTCTTATTTTTCTGTACGGAAACCTGAACATCACTCTTTCGCTTTTATTCACGAGCAAGACCTGAGAAAGTCTGACGGTGAGCAAGATCTCTGCAAACGGCACTGAACTCAAAGGCTCAGAAAATATACAATGTGTCCAGTCTGTGTCTCCATTTGGTAAAAGAGCCAGGTTTGTTAAAAGGACAAGATGTGGTTGCAGCCGCACATGATAGACAGAATATTGTTAGGGGTTAGGGGTTAGAGTAAGGATTTATGGTTAGGGGTTAGGGCAACTATTTCTCAACCACCCAAAGTCCAACCGCGTATTCCCAATAGCTTTTATTTTGCATACAATTACTTGACCTCGTCGCCTGAGTGTTCCCCGGCCCCATCCGTAAAACCCCGTATTTCCACCGGTTCCATATTACAGGCGGCTGGGGGTTGTTTACCTCAGGTGCGGCAACATAGCCACATCTGACCGAAAAAAGTCCTAAACACTATATCGTCTCTTCTTTATTTCCTTTTACTTTCCTGACTAACTTATCTCTGGTGTCATTATAGTGTAGACCGGCCGGTAGGTCAAAACTTGCGGCAATGAAGAGATCTTATTATTACTTTTTTGACACGAAGACTTCCTCCTTTCCCGAAACCATTGTGTCGCTTGCTCGGGCCTTTGAGCATCATAAGTATCTCTAAAGTATAGACAAGTCTATACGGCCTGTGGCATAAGCAGCAGGAATCGATATGGATATGTACTGCCGTCAAGCTCGCGTACTATGAAATGCTCGCATCATGCAAATAGTTAAACCGCTGCATATCGATTATCCCTGCGCGCTCTAACTGCGCAATTTCACGGGTTGCCGAACCGTGATAGGCCACAATTAGGATTTTATCGAACTCGTATCGTGCGGCAGATGGCGGAAACATTTTCACCAAGACGATCACGATGCGTCCGATTTTGTTGTTTCTGGTGGTCTACTGCTTCCAAGCCGTGAACGGATTCAATGTTTTCGGTCCCGGTGGCTTCGTCAGTGGATCTCGGCAGGTGGAGGAGGACAGCCCAGTAAGGAATCCATTTTCCGGAGTTCTGAGGGGAGTCCACGGGGGACTGAAGGCAGTACGCCACGTCAACGACCTACATCAAGTGGCTCACCAGCTAGCTGATAAAAGATATCGTCGCCCTGATGAGAAAATAACCCCGATTGACCATGGTCAAATAATATCTGGACACGATGATGGACCAGTCACTATGAGTTATTCTATTGTAATCCAATCAAAAGAGGACTGAAACTCCTGAAGAAATGTACTTTCGCTGCTGCTACTTCTTGTTGTTCTTTAGCTTTTTTGTTTTGGGTATTTAATAAAGTGATATTGCCGTGTGGTATTGGCATGCTGACACGCCACTTGTCGAAAGCGACTTTGCAGGTTTGTAGGCATCGTCTGGTCTAACGGTAGCACTTTGATTACCGCAGATTTCCGTAGTGAGTTGTCTCTTGAATGGGACAGAAAAGGTCGTAAGGTTTGGCTTACAACGAATAAGACCGAGGGTATGGATAAAAGGAGCATTACAAGTTACCGTGCCAACTTTGAGTATGGTCGCCTGAGACGTTATCCCAGTTTGTCGAGACTCACTGCTACCATTTTGCTTAGAATAAACCCTACATATCTTCCACTTTCTTTTATTGCTAAATGGGACCAGACCTCAGGTTGGAGTTGTTAAGTTACCTCCCTGGCTTCAGTCGCTGCATTACTGGCTACCATGGCAGGGTTGTCATTCAAGTATATGGGTGTGATTGTGCTCTTGTCATGTTGATTTCCGCTGCACACGTTTTCCAGCAGAAAAATTACGTTTCGCGCAACCGGAGGACTTTAACTGATGATTGCAGCCGCAGTTACTAGAATTCCAAGCCTTCGTGTTTGGCTTTGGGGGGAGGGACTGCCTGCCAGGAAACTACTAGTCATTATTTCCACAGATAGTTAAAAACTTGGTCAGGTGTCTTTAGCCACCTCAGCGTTCGTTTACGCGACCTACGGTGTCCTGGTTTTCGTCATTCGCTATGTTGAAAGTCACTGCGTTTATTGACATCTAGGCATGACTCCATTCCCGTTACGAACCCAGCCAAGGAAGGTAATATCCGTTCGATGGCGATGCTGGGGCGGTCCGAGGATTCTCTGAACGCCTTTACTCGGGATATGCTGTCCCAACCCTCTGAGGCCAGGATGAATCGTCAGCTCAAAAGCGCCAGTTCGAGAGCTCTAAGTGTCAGCACTCTGGGGGAGTCGATCGATTTCAATCGGGCAGACAGCTGGAGTTGTAAGTTTCATCCCAATTTCTCATTACATACCTAGCACTTTAGAAGTAAACTTTAGACCTTTTTCCAGGTGAAAGCCTGCAAAATCTAAGTCCTAGCAAAACGGCAGACGTCCGTGTTGAGAAATGCGGAGATAGAACCTCTCCCGCCTCTTGTGGGCAAAAAAGACTGTTCTACATTCCCAGCCCATTTGGTCACTCTCTTCCGGTTTCATTCATAATGACTGAGGACTTTAATATCAATCTAGGATTTTTCAGCACACTATTTGTCTCCTGGAGATAAAACATAACGTTCGGGAGCTTCGAACGGAGGAAGATAAGCAGTCATGGGTTGTTGAGTTTGACTTCTTTATCACTGTCTGACTGTAAATTGTAAAGATATGGTATTTACGAAGTTATTTTGATATAAACCGATATCGAGGGCTGTTAAAATTTATTAGCTCAGAACCAGAAGACTTTTTGACTGTGGTAGAGACCACTTAAAGTTGTGGTGAAGTCAAATCTACTATTTAAGGCTAATGGGGCGATTATCTTTTCAATTCGCACGGAATTCCACTACATACTAATTCTCATGTTCGTCCTTTAGTTAGTGTTGTTACTTGTGCTCCGGTTTGGCTTGCCGTTCAAAGTGAGGAGGATAGTTGAGTCTGCCTATCGTAGTCCCACTTCCTTATGCAGCCAGTAAACCAGCAAACGGGTGAAATTAGATAAAAGCTGAACAATCAAAGGAGTAAATGCGTAAAATCTTTTATCCGCTGAATCAGGTAATAGGAGTTCTAGCAAATTTTAGATACTATGGTCTATTAGGGAAAAGTTGGTATTAAGGAAGTTTTGAGTGTATAAGGGAAGGGAAATTTACTAGGTTCCCGCATACTGAAGCAGTTTCATAGTGTTCAAGACGTCCACTCGACTTCTTTTAATAATATCTTGGTAACCGAAAGTCTGTCAAAAAAGCACTTCATCTTGTATTTATAAGAAGACATTTGACAATTATGAGTCATCGGACTTATTCCAGAGACCAACTCGCCTCTATTTAAATTGAAATCAAGTGTACAAAATTAAACTTCCAGGAATTTGTATTTAGGAAGGATTGGATAGAATGCAACCATCAGTGATCAAACGCTGCCGGTCTATTAGCTACATGACGGACTGGCCGTAATATCAAGTTGTACCTTGGGCGATATTTGCCAGTGTATTGAGTAAGTAGTACAGAAAAATACGGCAAGGCGTGATGAGGCTAAACCAGGCTTTAATCTCCTCAAGAAGGCTGTGGACGTGAGACGACATCGTTATCTCTCAGGGGACAACCTCCGTGGTTTGCCTAAAAAGATGCACCCGAGCATAGAACTTAAGTACTCTGGGACACGACAGTTCGGCCGTCGTAGCCAACGACGGCTACGACTTTACGCCCCGCAATGAGCCGCGGCTCATTCGACGAGATCCGGCCACACATTCAAATTCGGCGAGGCTGAAATTCTCGCAAGAGGTGACAACCGCGTGAGCCGGGAGCTACTTGAATCGTGGTTTACTGGCCCCAGTCCATTAACAAGTGCAATTATCTTCCCCATCCATACCCGGTGCTGAGACTTCGCCTAAGCGGAATAATTAGCCACGCGGAGAGAGCACAAGTGAACACTTTTCCCAAATCCAGGGTCGGTGGGTCAGATGGTCGAGCAATCATCACACCAACATCCAAAGCACGTGATGCAATTGCAGCAATTAACGACGCGAATGAGAGCAATCAAACAATTAGCACACTAAGGGCTACGATTCCGGATGAAGAGGGGAGTCGTGAATGTTCATAGGTATGCGGTAGCATGGCGACTGCATCCTATAAATACTGCAGCCCCTTCTGCATGAACCATCCATATCTGCTTTCTTCTCTGATGATGGGTTCGGGCAGAAATCTGGAACGTCAGGCTAATAAAGCCCTTGTCCCAGCAAGCGTGTCTTCTTCTTCAAGACCTAAACAGTCCCTCTTCACGTGCTACCTACGACCTGGCCCATGTAAAACACACCAAGTTTTTGCACAAACGGGATGGACGGCTCGGATCTCGCATGCATGGGGGTTTCGTAGACGTTATGCTAAGAGAAGGGACCAGTTAGCTTGACTCTCACCCCACCAGTTGGTCATTCCAAAGAAACACACTCAGGGCCAACCTCGAGATTTGATTTGTATCGTCAATTGACAACCTTCCAACCCACTTCGCTTATTGCGTCGTGCTAGATTCAGAAACGCAAGATTCATTATAATGAGGAATGTGCTAAATTGTCTTAGGAACGGGGCTGCCCCCCACTTTACTCTCCCGTGCGCCAGTCGATTGTCCGAGCCAGTCAATCAGCTGACGTGGGGATCGGGCACAGAGCTAAAACAGCCCGTCCAGGCGCGCCACACACAACGCACCAGGTTTTCACACGAAGAGGTTAGCAGCAGAAGGCGATTGCTGTTGTCTCTATGGTCTTTTTTGACAAACTTATCTATTAACTCACCTGTCAGGAGTGATCCTAGTTCGTCAACCCCAAAGGAAGGTCTATCACTGTAACTTAAGGCAAACTACACAGCCATTCAGTACAAAGAGGAGGATTCTGAAATTAGGAAACAAAATTCCATATTAATTAAAGAACCAATTTTACTTAAGCAAACCATGCTTCTCCGGCTTCTAAAATCTTTTTCCAACGGGCGTCTGAACTAACTGTTGCCTTGCCACAGAATTACTCCGTCTCTTAATTAGTTAACTGCCCAACCGGATCAAATATAGTCGCTAGGTCTCTGTGGTATTTGCTTCCAGAGGCAGTAGTGTCTGACTGGCCTTTGTTTGATGTGCCAATGGCATTAGCGAACTTTTCCGTACGTCATCGGTATTCGGCCATTTTAATACTAATTCCAGTTATCTTACAGGGTTCGGTTTTTATTGTAAGTCATAATTCGTTTCAACAATGTCCTCTTTTATTCCTGAGAACCCCCATGAATCGTTGTCTAGACCATCATGTGGTATGCGCTTTGCCAGCTTCCTTTGCTTTTTCTGCAACCGTCATGTGACCATTACAGGTACGAACAGAAGCTTCGTAGTCTTTTTGGAAAAACCCCGAGTGCCATCTGTGGGTTGGCTTTCATACTGGTTTTGCTATGATCATTCATTCTAACGGTTTATGAGGCTCTCTCAGAGTCCCTTTACAAGAGTTATGCTGCTGGACCGGAGCTCTTGAACTACCGATTAGTAATTTGCTCCTCTGCGCAAGTGCCAAATCAATATTTCTAGTGGGTTCAGTGTCACTCTTTAAAACAAGTAGCTTAAGTCACTTTGAAAATATTCGATGCATACGTTAAACCGAAAGAACCAGGAACGTAGCCAGGAGCTTCGTCGCCCAAGACAGCGGACCAACACACAAAATAACTCATATTTGGTGCTGAAAAAGGATTGAAAACTCATAGCTTCAGCAATCGGGCTTAACAAAGCAGGAACTTTACCGCAAATAAGTCCATTCACATTATGAATAAACCTCACTTTGTAAAGTTCCATTAGGGCATGTTGAAGGGCTATGCATTGTTAAGGAAACTGCCAACATTCACAGTTTCATATGCGAACAGACCCACGAATAGATTGGATACTCACGCAAACCAGTGCGGTTAGGCGCCTGAAGCACTGGTCTGATAGACTGATGTTACTCTAATAGAAAGTTCTCTCAGTTAATGCCTGGATGAAGAGAAGCGCACATCTGCTCATTGCTTAGTCTGTTGGGCCTTCAAAAACTACTAAGTTTGGTTTCTACTACTAATTGACAAGGATTTTTTCGGGGACCTTAAGTGCCGATGAGACTCATAAAGGTAGTCTTGTCTTATCCATAGACACACTGTCCTGGCAAAACGTCCATTCAGTGCATTCTGCCTAATTTATGCCACCAGTCTTTTCGCTCAGAAGTCTGTTCATACAATTCGGTTTTATCCATTTGACAGTCTCAAGATCCCAGGAGCCTCGGCTCATGTCTGCCTACTCATCACCCACTCTGAACCTGCAAAACGCATCAGGAGCCAAGGTAGGCGATAGAGGAGTACATTTATTTATTCCTGCTAAGAGTTTCAACGGCCTCCATTCGACAACGGTATTCCACTGCCCTACAATTTCTAAAGTCGTAAAGTGCAGTCATTCACTGGAAACAAAAAACGTGTTGCTCCTGGCTAAAATACTGCGGCAAACTTGGTTAGTTCATGGACAATTTTCGAAAACTAGTTCAGGAATCTTTCAAGAGCCAATGTAAGCTAAACTGGTGGCAAGCATCTAGGTACCTGCACTCATAGACCTAAGGGGTGTTTCGAAAGTTCATTAAAAGATAGTTTAATTGTTCAAAGAAAGCTCGGCAAGATCTCATTTCGTAGCCGTACCTGTTAAGGGTTAGGGGTCAGGGTTAGGGGTTGGGGGTTGGGGTAAGGGGCTAGGGGATGGGGTAACGGGTAAGGGGTTGGGGTAATGGGTTAGTGTTTAGGGGATAGGGTTAGGGTTAGGGGTTAGGCTGGGGCTTGTTTACTGTAGGTACGACTATGAAATGAGATCCGACCGAAAGCTCTGTCTTTCCAGAATATTATGCCTCGGTATATGCATTTAACATAAAGTGGGGTTCGCGGACTTCTAATGCCTCATTAGCTCTAACTGTTAAAGTCCGGTATGGGATGATCGCGGTCAGTCCCATATACAAACTCCTAATTTGCTTCTTGTCTTTAAAGGCAAAACAACGGAAACTGTTCACTAGAAAATCAGTGAAGGATCTGGGGTAGATAGTACAATTCGTGATTTTGCGACTGCTGGTATAATAAATAAAATGTGGCCAACCAAACAGCACGCTTCGCTCAGAAAAAACTCAAAGACGGGCCTGTTTGAGACGTATTTTATACATAGATGACGTTCATTCACATGGCCCATATCAATGGTTGGTGACAGTAGACGATCGTCAGAATCCACATAGAATTAAGGCTAATTTCTAATCAGTGCAAGCAAGCAAGATCACTACCAACTGGGAAGGTGGAAACCAGGCCTTGTATTGGAAGCCGATTTTGTCAATCCCTCTTTGCAATCGCCGTCATTATCGCCTAGACCATCTATGACTGCCTTAAAAATCATACTGCGACCCTACCGTAAAGGCTAACTACTAATAAACCCTTTTTAATGGCAGTAAAAGACTCGCAGAGAGTAAGCAATGGCGTATTAACTCGTAACTAACGCGTTTTAGACGAAAATGTGCGAGTCGGGCAACTGGAACGAGGCATACGACAGTCCTGTGTTTACGCAATTCGCCCTTCAGTCAAGTTCGATAACTGAGGTAAGAATTACATTGAAATGTTAGCGCCAACTACGAAACTCCGCTATATTCGTACTCTTCTTTGTGGTTTTGTGACCCCAGTGGCAGTTCAACTGTTCGGATCAGCAAGGCAATTTTTTAATATAAACGGGATTGTTGACACAATATTAATTATTTCAAAAACAATGAACAGGTCTAAAGAGAATTTATCGAACGTAAATTTTTTTTTTCAAATGTTCAATGGGAATTTTCGCAATTCTAAAATGGTGACCCCTTTGATTTACATATTCCGCAATCTTCCACGAGGTTTTCAGGTTTTACTCCCCCGAATTGCCATTTATTACATCTCAACTGACAACTGCGTTTGCAGTGGCACAAAACGTTTTGCTGGGTTCGTAGTGGACTTTTCTTAGAGGGAGAACAAAAGAAAACTAATCTTCACTTTTGATTTTTTCCCCCAGCGTCAAGAGCAGGAAGTTAACAGGTATTTGGCCGCTTATGCACGCGGTTCCCTGCCAAAAATCCCAAAAGACTACATTGACGATTTCCCCCAGGGTCTTGCAAGGGGAAAGGCGACCTTTCTAGACGCCCTTGCGGACTCGAGTGCCACCCAGACAAGCAATCCGGCAACTGTGTTGACGAAGGGTGACCCTAATGTAAGTTATGTCGCTCAACTTATGATCAATTTGTATTTAAATACGTAAGGGGAATTTGAGCAAATACATCATATGTGTGTGGGTGCTCAGATGCACGATCGAAGTCGGAAGAGAAGAACATTTCTGTGGGATTTCATGCCTTGAATCTAATTAAATAGAGAGGCCCCTGGAGGAAATACACTAAGACTGTGTCATTCCAAGGATGAAGTCGCTTTATCATATAATGTCCTGACTCAGCATTGGGTGAGTTCAGTACACTACTTACAGATTTACCTATCCTCCGCAGGGCAATATATAATTATAAAATGTTCCACATCACGCTGCAATTTGTACCCAAAAGCTCAGTAAGATGTTTTTCAGAAATTTATGCGCAGCAACTATCCGACGCATCTATGTTACTTGGTCATCGTACTTCACTGGCTTTTCAAACTCTCACTAGTATCCACTTGCGCGTGAACTACTGTATAGTGGTGTCAGATTTACGCAACATCTGCTGCATTGTCTCCTTCCTCACTCACCTCGGCCTGGCGGAAAGATAGGTTCAGGACGACCAGATGCTTGCTCGGGCGCAGTGGCTGAGAATGATGAACAGTCTGTCTGTGTGTGCCACACACTTCTTGGTCCCCGCTCAATGTACCGGGTTTTTATAGAAAGGTGACTCGATCTCCATCTGAGTTTGAGTGCTATAGAGGTCATATGAAGAAGGGGCCATTGAGCCCCGCCCTCAGTCCTCGAGCTAGTCACCTCACGCATACACACACACACGCGAAATTTCTACTGTCGATTCCGACAATGTCCACCGTGTGCTAGGCAGCTAGGTGCAGCAGGCACGGTGACTTGCGCGTGAATTAGTTTATAGTGATAGTCGACCTGCGCATCATCTACCGCACTCTCTCTTTACCACTCCCCGCCTGAATCCGATTTCAGGACAGAGTCAAGAAGATCGGAGGCGAGGGAGGACGCAGGTGGATGGCACGGTTGTGCCTGCACCTTGGCGCTCCACTCCACCCCCCCCCTGACCTTCACAACAAATAACCCGATTTTTGACCAACAACAGCAATGGTGGGCGGCAGAGGTTCCAGTGTGCGCGACGGCTTCCGGTAACCGTGTCTGTCACCGCATCCCAAAATGTTGACAGTTGTTATGGTTTGCAATCCGGATAGCACCTGCCAGAACCCGATGCGACCTCCGTACTGGTCCAGCGCATCTAATACGTGGCCAGTTAGTAGGGCACAACGCACACACAGTAATGGCCACGAGAATCGAGTTACCCCGTCAGTTGACAGCCTCCCAAACGACAACTTTTAACGAGCCAGATTTTTTATTGTGGGGAATGTGCCGGAGTGCCGTGGGGATGGATCTCCTAGGCTCAGCCTTAATGCACCAATCGAATTTCCGTACCTGTCAGCCCTCTGGTGTTTGGATTGGGTGCAGTGGCTGGCAGAGGTCAACAGGTCGTCTACGTTTGCCGCACACTATCTGCCTCTCGCGCAATGTATCAACTGTTAACAAAAACTTGCCGTTTATGATCTATCATGCATGGGAGTGACGCACTAAGTAGGAGCCACTGAATAAAATTATACTCGTCACTTTCTATTGGATGCAGGTCATGACCTCTTTGGAGTTGATCACTGTGCAGTTGTTTTTTCTACCTAAAGGGCTCCACGCAGGTTTGCGAAATTATAATTTTCCGAACACGCCTCCCTTACTGTCCGCCATGATCTTCGACAGCTTTCTTGTTGTCCAGTAGTCAGCCGAATTCATGCGGCGGCTGTACAGTCCCGTCAAATAGCGGGCATGATTCAGGTCCGAACACGTGCGTCAGCAGGACCAAGCCGTGCGCGAGTGAGGCCATTGATGATGAAGTCACGCGAAAGCAGGTTGGCGCTGGAGTTGAGAGATCAACCGACAGACTAGGTGTTTGAAAGTGGTTAACCGTGATGGTGCACCTGAACAGTACTTTCCTGGCGCGACAATCCGGCAGATAGCGAAGTGGTGTGGCTGGGCTATCCGGTACTGGTTGAAAGCTGGCATAAGAGCGGACATAAAGATCTAACAACCAACTATAGCTGACACAACTTGCAGGGTATGTACACCTTTCTTTTAAGTCCATTTTTGTTTAGACCGTCATATATCACACCAAGAATGATTGACCAGGAGGTCCGCAGGCCCCAGATGATGTCATTGAAGCGCACATGAATGACTCTTTGTGATTTGTGATACTACAAAGCCCTGAAAGTTTCTTTCAACTTCCCCAGTTGAATCTTCTTTGGAGCTAAGACTCAAGCTGAACGGTCGACTTGCAGTTCATATATGCTTAAGACTTCTTGCTGGTAGAACTCAGCTGCAGGTTGCTGTGACCTGCGTGCCTTCCCTTGGAAGGAAACAGCATACAGACTGCAGCAAAAGGCCCGGGGATTATTTGTTAGTAAAGACACCCCCTTGTGTTTACCTGATAAACCAAAAACAGAATCATAGGCATGTACAGTGAGTGACCGATCTCATGAAATGTTGGCTGAAATTCTGAAATGCGTTTTCGATTAAGAAGGATTACTTGGTCGCGGTTGTAATACTACTTGTCTTGTGGCATACTCTTATAGCATTTCGGACTTGGCAGGATGTCAGCTTTTAAATGCACTTCTTTTCAATCTCCTGTAGAAAGCGTGTTCAGCAAAAAATGACTACTTAAGTAGCATGCATTTTTCCCATTGATTTTCGATGGTCTTGGAAATTCAAATATATCTTATAGAAACCATAAACAAAAATATCCTTTCTTTTAGTCAATCAATAGAAAATCATGTCTTCTTTATATTTTATACTTAGGGATGGAGTATAATTATGAGACTTTAATTATGAGACTTTTTAAGACTGCGAAATGTCCATTCACATAGCATCGTATCTGGCCGTTTACCACTGCTCCTCATGAAATGTACAACATTGTCCGCATCCATTGCAAAATTTTATGAACTCTGTATGATATCTCTTTAATAGCGTAGAAAAATATGTGATTTTCTTTACGCGGAACGCATGCACCCTGTAGAGTGATATCACCAAGCGCTAATGCAACGAATGATCAGGCTCCAAATTATTCGGCAATTAGAAAACTTTTTTAAAACTTAATTTTATTCCTTCTTCGAGTATGAAGTATAAAGAAGATGTGATTTTCTATTGATTGACTAAAAGAAAGGATATTTTTGGTTATGGTTTCTATAAGATATATTTGAATTTCCAAGACCATCAAAAATCAATGGGAAAAATGCATGCTACATAAGCAGTCATTTTTTGCTGAGCACGCTTTCTACGGGAGATTGGAAAGAAGTGCATTTAAAAGCTGACACCCTGCCAAGTCCGAAATGCTATAAGAGTATGCCACAAGATAAGCAGTATTACAACCGCGACCAAGTAATCCTTCTTAATCGAAAACGCATTTCAGATTTTCAGCCAACATTTCATGAGATAGGTCACTCCCTGTAGGAGTGGTATGTGAAAGGAGCATCCGATGGAGGTACACAGATCGGGACGGAAAGCTTGGCTTTCAATCAGTAACTTATCCTTCTGTCTGAGTAAAACTGGCAGTCTCGGATCAGTTCTGATCCCACTATCCTAACTCCTTAACCGACTGAGTTGCCACTGCACCTCCAACTTTTGTCCAGCCTCCTTTCCTGATAAACTGGTCTTGTCAGTAAAACGTGTTGGTTTTTTTAAGCCAGCCTTCTATCCGTTTCTGCTTTTGTTTTAGAAAAGATGCAATCAGCAACGAGCAATCATGGAATTAGTCCAAACGGAAGCAAACTACATTAAAGTATTGGAAATGATGATTGATGTAAGTGGTCATCACCATAATTACATCGACCCTAAAAGTGGATTTGGCCAGACAGAAGATCAGCCATAAACATGAGCCAATCTACGATTTCCCCCTTTGTTTACGTCAGTTATGACCTAAGCCGAGCTATCCTACTCAAAAAATTTGAACATTGCCGCTGATTTTTGTCCTGGGTATTTCTGTTCTAGAGATCTAGAACGGTGGGCGCCTTCTACACGCGAGTAAATATCTCATGATAACGGTGATAAATTATCTGATGGTCAGGCCATCTGCTCAGCCGAGCCCCGGCTGAAACTGTCAGGTCACTGGGCCTGGGATTGATATAGGACAAGCTAAAGAAAGCGGGTGAAACAGAAACAGCCCTTAAATTCCATTTTCTTTGTCGGTTAAATCCCTTGCGTCTTGAATACCCTTATGTATAGAAGAATCAGTGGCAAGGGTATAGATTGTGGCCAGGATTACTTTCCCCGGGATGATTTGCGCTGAGCGAAAGAGCCAAATATCTTGGAACTTTGCGGTATCACAAATGTTGATCCTCCACATTGTCACCATTTAAAAGAAGACTATTTTGCCCCTTATTGATAATAATAATAATAATAATAAAGGAATTTAATATCACCTTGAAGACGTTGTCAAAAAGGTATAGCATTGTCGTATTTGTACTCCGATAACTATCTTAAAGCATCATGACCAGTCTCACGCAACTGTCACAGCGAGGTCTTTTTATTTCTTTCTCTGTCATGTGCAGATAAATGTCGCCAGTTATTTTCTTTTAGCACAATTGCTCCCCAAGAATGTAACCCCGGCCATAAGCCAGATCCTTGCCGAATCAGTAAACTGTATAGTAGTCAGATCGCGGTAGACCGTAAAATGCGGAGAAGAATGTATAATATCTGTCCTTCAGGGCGTGCTCGGCTACGAGTAACATTTTACGGCCATCACATCATTCGGTTGTTCATCCGATATGGGCAGGTAATTCACAGAATGATGTTGGGGGAGGGGTGTGATCAACATGAAGCTAAGGTAAATGGGCTATCTCATGAAGTGCTAGCTAAAAGGTGCTTTCATTCGAAAATACGTTCTATGTGGAGTTGCATTACCAATTATCTTAGATTATTTAAGATATTCCAGTCAAGTCAGCGTGCTCGATTTCGAGCAAGCCTTTATCCGACAGCTTGCATAAATTAAAATCCGCGAAAGTGGCAACTTAAATAGCATGAATTTATCATATTGATTTTCGGTGCTCTTATTAATTCAAATACCCCCCATGGAAAGCATAAGAAAAATTGGTCTTTCTTGTATTCGTTGGTAGCAAATTACTTTAGATTTTTGCTTGAACGAAGAGTATCTTTTGGTGCTAAGAACGTTTCAAGGGCAACGATCTAGAGAAGGATCCCACTTAACTGTCAGTAGACTGTGGATCGTGCCATAGATGATTAATGATAAAGAGGGTTTTTTGGTGGGACAGCACGCTAAATAGTAAGCTGAAAAAATGAAAGAAAACAGAGAAATTGTTTGGACTTATGCCAACAACGGAAATAAGAGTATTATTAGACAATAAACAAAAAGCAAATTTCACAAAATAACGGATTTCGAGGTAAGGTTTGAGGTCGTGAGAAGAAATTGTTGTTGGCAGTATAATTCCTGCAACAGCCCGCAAAGGCATGTCAAGATGAAACCTCATATAACGCGATCCACAGTCTACTGACAATTAAGTGGGGTCCTTCTCTATACCGTTGCCGTTTCTAGTTATGAGGTTTTTTAAAACTGCTAAACGTCCGATTATACAGCATCGCCTCAGCAAGTAATTAAATGTTGTAAATTAATGCTCGATAATGCGGTCTACTTCCAGTGCAAACTTTTATGAACCCTATACGACGTCTTTTTAATACCGTACAGAAATGCATGATTTTTCTCCCACGAAGAGCATAAGCTTGTAGTTTGGAAGACATAAATGCCAGATAACTGCAGGTCGGGCTTGAAATTATTCGGGAATTGAAAAATTTTTAAAACCGAATGGTACGCTACCGTAAAGTTTGAAACTGGAAAATGACGTAATTTTCTATAAAATGTGTGAAAGAAAAAAATATTTTTATGCGTGTTTCATGTGAAATTTACACGACTTTAAAGGGGCATCGAAAACCGACATGAAAAATTCACACTATGTAAGTAGTTATTTTTGCAGAGTTTGGTTTATACGAGCCGCCGAAAAAGGCCCGTTCGAATGTCGGCATCCTGAGAAGACCGAAATATTTTAGTATTATGCTACATGATACTTAATATTACGACCATAGATAAGTAATCCTTACGAATGAAAAACAAATTTCGGAATTCCGGTCAACTTTTCATGAGATATCTCATCTATGTGCATGTATGTATATATACATAGGTTTTATACCGCTCTCCCGACATAGGTTTTAGTTAAAAGCCCAGGCACGCGTTTCGCCGAGTTTTCTTCTTCTGTTACACATGCGTATATCAATTTATGTTGTCAATTGTTTTTTGCACCGAAAATTCGCAACGGTCGATTATAAGCGCGATTACTTATCAATTGCTCATGTTCGGGCATATTACAGTAATAGACATTACGCTATTTTGTTGGTGGATATGAAAAGCCCTATGGTGTTGACGGGGCTTAAAACGCAAGCGTTAATCCTGCCTAAATATTAATGCTGTAAACAAGGAAACGTTTGAAAAAAGCGAATATACTCAATTTCCTAACTGAGTGTTTGAGTGGCGATAGTGCATTGAGTCAGCGCTTTTCATCATACACGTAGGTTCATGTTGCCGTCTTCCTGGAGCTTAACAAACCTATGACTGACGCCAGCATACCGAGTCGTGTCGGCTCTTATCGCAGTTATCATTCTTCTGGAGGAAGTATGCACAAAAGACGCCGAGATAGTCTCTTTGAAAAGATAAGGCCTTCAAACCGTCGCCGAATACGAAGCCATGCTGAAACAGGTATCTCTTCAAGGGCGAGCGTTACCAGCATCAACAATGGGACATTTTCCGAAACCTCCAGTTTCCAAAACTTCGGCAGTACAAATTCGCTTTCATCCATCTCGGCACCACAACGACCGCAGCCTATTCCTGATGTCAGCGACATTTTCGGGAATCTTGGCCAAATTTACAGAGCAAATGTAAAATTCTGGGAGGATTGTTTCGAGCCCTGCTTTTCGGGAAGTCCACCCGGGGAACCGAAGCTCACTGTGAAGAAGCTCAAAGCGGTGTTTCTTAAGGTATGTCCTGAGTAGGCCTAAACGCTCGTGCGGGTAAATTCAATGTCCTTATCATCCCTATGCTCGGAGAGTAGTAGACGAATAAGGCTACTTACTGCATACCTTAATCGTACATTGAAAAAAGACTGTTTCATTTGCTTTGTAAACATAGCTCAGGAAGACCAGACGAAGAAGAAAGGTCTCTAGCAGACTAATCAGGGTACCGATGAAAATTAGAAAAAAAAGACGAAGAGCTAATTATTTGGGACTCATGTCTATGTAAAGTTCCAAAACACGAACCTTCGCATGAGTTTTTAGCAGCATTCAGAAAGAAAACAGGTGTTAACTTAGAAAGCCTAGCAGGTTGTAGTTGATGAAAATAAGTCTAGTGTTTCAAACCACCCCTCCTCAGTATGTCTTGCCGATTCTGCCAGAATTTTGGCGATAGCGAGATCAGGCATCTCTTCCAGAGTTCCAGCCCCAAGCTCAGCGATTTGTCGATCTCCCCCGCCATCATTTTAACTACTTTATCTTGATCATTATGGTATTAGTAACTTGCAGTAAAGTGAAAATCTCTATGTTGCTCAAATGATCTGAGGCCTTCAAGCTTTTAAACCAATTTGCATGTTTTTTTCAGTTTGAAACGTACTTTGAACCGTATGTCGAGTATCTGAAACATTGCCACAGCATCATTTCCAATGTGAAGACCTTGGAAGTCAAAAATCGCCTCTTCGCTGCCTACACTGAGGTAATGGATGGTCCAGTTTTAATTTTCTTCTGTGTTTGAGCCGTCTTTACGTGCATGCTTTGTTAAATAACCAGTCAGACGTACCAAAGTTTAGGTGAAACATGCATCTTACGTTTCTTCCAGCCCTCTCTTCATCAACAACCTCAAAAGTAGTGGGAACGCGTTTAACCAATCAGGTTACGGGACACGCACGTCCCGTTGCGCCTTGGGGCTCGCTCGAGAGACCTCGCAGGCAGTCACGTAGAGCGACCACTGGCGTGGGCGGAACAGAAACACCGACAAAGACAGCACACACTGGAATGGTCCTTTCGGACTCATTAGTCGTCGTCTGTTGGTAAACCCAAACATAAGTCTGAATGACCTGGGATTCGAGTCCACATCTTGACGGATTAATGCCCTCCCACCGTTTTTAACATTTCCAACTGCAATCGACAGAACAGCGGAAGCGTGGTTCGATGTTGAAACGTTGGACTTCTAAACGTTCAATAAGCAAAAAATCCCGATTTAATTCCAGGACAGCCAGACCTGTGGTTGGATATGGCTGGCCCACGACGGCCTGTAGGCCGGGAATGGTTCTATCCGTTTCTCTTGTTTTGGCGGCTCTTCTTTTTTGAATAAATCCTAAAAATGACCACAATGGACTTCGGCTATTCAAGCAATCTTAAATCGCATCGAAGGCAAAGGATAGCGCGTTACGTTTCGTTAGGGGCACGGCAGATTGCGGATAATAAGTAATACTTCACGGCCAGCCTACATCTACTATGGCTATCAAAGAATCTCATAGCTGCGAATCACTTTAAAAAAACAATCCTGAGACAAATGACCGGATACGGTGCAGAAACGCAGAGGCAAGTAAGATTAATGTGAATATTTCCGAAGCGACCTATTTCTTAAAACAGTGGGTTGCTATAAAGAATAGTTTGTTTCTCCCGTTTTTTTCCAGTGGACTACGTACCACAATACACTACATCATCGTGAGAGCCTTACAAGTCTACTTCGGAAACCCTTTCAAAGAAGTATGCAATACGGACTTCTCCTTCAGCGTATCAAGGACGAAACTCGCGACCCTGAGGAAATATGCGATCTTGACGAAATGGTAGACACTGAGAGTGAAACTATTCGGTCTTCTTATGCACTTGCTCTCTGTGTACCAACTTTCCGTGTCATCGCCTACACAATCTCTGGCCTGACTTTCTGCCTGCCGTAACTTTTAGCTTTCCGTGGTAAACGAATTCGTCAAGAAAATCGAATCGGGGATACCGGAACACGAGGAAAGGCTTGAACTCGAAAAATTCCTCCAGCGAATTGAAGGCTACTCCTACCTTAAAGCACTGCCCGAAGGACTGCATGCCCATGCCGACAGCCTAGCCGACTTGAAGACACGCTTACGACAACCAGTTTGCGTAGCGGGCCAGAACAAGTACAGAATTCCATTAACCGAATTGACGGCAAAAGTCAAATTTAGCAACGGCAAGGTTAGTCCCAGCGGAGAGATGATTACCTGTTGATTAACAGATTTTTTCGTTTGCGACTATGCATGTTCTCATCTGGGACCGCACCTCTTGAAATTGCAGAAATAGATTCACGGGTCAGTCTTATGCTCAATATCAGGGAACTCGGGAGGGTTGGAAACCAATAAGTACGCTCCCAAGTCATAAACCTTACTTTTTCCACATACACAAGACAAGGTATATACGGCCAATTCCCCTATTGTAGGATAATTATACTAGCAAAACGTAACCCAAAAGAGATAACTGTCACAAAAAGGGCAAAACCGCTTTTTTCACTGGAAGTCCCAAACTCCGCCGATTTCAAAATATCAGCAATTTTCATACACAATGGTTCAACCGTCTCAGAGGTGCTTACCATTATCAACTTGCGAATCCCTTCGACAGCGGCCGCCGCCACTCTGTTGGGTGGTCGTCAGACTGACTGCATATTGGGAAGTGCCCGCAGTTACTAAACTGCAATGCCAAATAGGGGGTCCCAGTCAGTAACTTGTGCCATGGACTCTAGGGTCAGAAACCTGGGCGAATGTAGTGCCGCAAATCCAAATTCGGATAGTGACGTATTAGAGCACCCACTATCACAATCAAAGCTCGGATCCGTAAAAGAGGTTATGGAACGGGAAGAAGATTCTCACCGTCCATTGACTGTTGTGTATCCTCCAAGACGACTATGTTTGTGTCTTCAAATACGCTCTGTTTGAACGTTTAAATCGGACACCGATGTCCAATCGCTTTTTGTTGAACACGTCTGGGGTTGTCCGGGAGCAGGCCGGTGCAAATTTATCGCTGCAGTTCAAGCCATAATGAGACCATAGCCACCATGACCTTCAGGATCGGTCCCGAATAGGAAGAGGAGAAGTGGGACGACAGTTTGGAGGACGGTGTATTCTGTGCAGAACTATTAGAGAAGAGGCTGGTAGGAGTGTGAGACAATGGGGCAGTCGTCCAGCGCCTTCAGTGAGGTCATGTCTGAGTCGGAGCCTTGACTGATCGGCAAAGACAGCCGGCATCAGCCGAGAACCAGACTGCAGTTGGTGCGCACACACACACAAGTAGCCACGTGAGGCTGAGCTTTGCAACATGTGTCCGGAGTTGAGCCACTACGACTTCAGTCCTTAACTATTTCTTTCTGACTTCGCAAAGACATTCAGTGTGGAGGCAGAGAAATATGTTCCCCATCTCTGCAGATCGTTTTGCTTTTCTGTGTCCGAGTTGATACCAAGCCGTGTTGGTGACTAACAAATGGGAATCAAAACAAACTAATCGTGCTGAACATATCCTGCAGGCCGATCGGTGAACGCAATTCCCCCATACGGGATAATTACTTTTATTTAGGTGATGACAGTATTATTTAGTTTAAAAGTCAAACGGTAATACCGAGGGATCTACCATACCCTGTCAATGATCCATACGCACAGTATACAGTGTCGCGCATACGGCCACCGGCTTTGTTCTCCCTCTGCGCCTTAATTGGTCAACCTCTTGCGTGAACCTACACACTAGCCGATCACATAGGAGTGACAGTTCGACCGTAGATCCCGACGGGGAGGACGAAGAGCTTAGTCCTTATACAAAATCTGATAACGAATATACGTGGACTGTCTAAGTTCTGCGAATATTCCCATGTTACAATTGAAAAGTCAATTTGTCAAACACGTGTTTTCGGTAACTCGTCATCAGGCCAAAACAGTTGCATAGAAGTTCAAAATAGGCGAACTTCACGGACAGAATGGAATCACCGAAGTATGGAAGACCCGACGCTCGAACTCGCGAACTGTTAGTAAGAAGTCCACGCCTCTAACCACTGGGCCACGAGCCCGTTGCCCTGTCGGTTTTTGATCGGGAATATACAAAGGTAGGGGGCGCTCACCGATCATTATTACGGAACTCACACGTTCCATTGTGCCTTACGGGCTCTCTCTCGACGGCTTATAAGCCAGAAATGGCCATTCCAGTTTCCCTTGTCTTTGTAGCCAATGCCATTCTGCCTATATCATGCGCCGCTGTGCGGCTGCTGGTTGGGCTCTAGAGAGAGCCCGTAAGGCACAACGGAACGAGTGAGTTTTGTAATAACGATCGGTGAGCGCCTCCCTCCCCCCCCCCCCTACCATTGAAGTTCACAGGGTTTATAAGCGATTCAGGTGCTATTAACACTCATCATTCCCACGCCGCCCACATGGTGAGGCGTGTTATTGCGTGGTCGGCGTGTTATGTTCATTGGGTCAAGGGGGCGAGGGGGAGGGGTGACAGGCTGTGAGTGATGTTTGTAAGTGCACATCACTCCCATCAGGAGGTTGGGGCGACATACAATCGTAATCATTCTATGTAACTGTTTTGGCCTGATGACGAGTTACCGAAAACGGGTGTTTGCCAAATTAACTTTTCAATAATTGAATGATCAGAAATGTGAGTGTGGTGTGCGTGTCTACAAACGAACTTCAAGTTTACATAAGACAAATACAGTTACTACAAAAGAGTGCATAATACCAACTGCACCGTGCTAATACGCCACTGAAGATGCTCGGTTGGCCATTCAAACAGTTCCACTCGAGGACGAAATGCAAAACAAATATCACGGCTTCCGTGTAGTAGATGATAGTCGGACCGGTAGGCGGCAGCCGTGTTCCTTAAAGTACATGATTTACCTTGAGGTCAATTAAAACCCTGATGAATAACTAATGGTGACCAGTAAATGACAACATGAAGGAAACATTTGATTTTCTCAGTGCGTTTCTGGGCGTCGAATGTTGATTTTTCACGCGTCTTTGTTGGGGCCTTCATAATCTAATGCACTTTTTGCACTTATTGCATAATGCAGTTCTCAGACAACGATTAAAGTAGCCTAAACGGCGCTGATATTGACTCCAACCTAAGTAATACTTATCGTCTTTTTAGATCAGGGAAGCTGTCTGCATCCTGCTGACTGATCAAATCCTCATTTGCAAAGAGATGCGCAAAAGCAACGGTCTCTCTGTTTGCAGGCCACCCATCCCTCTTTCTCATGCGCAATTAGTATCCAAAAGTAAGTAAATTATGAAGAAGATGTTGAAGGCCTTCAGCTGAGACACGTACCTTTAACAGGCAGAATACTATGTGGAAATGTATTTTTGAGATGAGACTTTGTGTCACAAATCCGCGCAGGAGGCAAAAATTACTGTCTTTGTAATCCTAATTATCCATCATTCATTTCTCCACAGTCTTCCGTATTTGTAAAACACACCACGACCAATGTGACGAAAACTCACCAAGAATGTAATACCATAGCACTTGCTGATTTTAATAAATCAGGTTTGGTGGTGACTTTTGGGTAAAATAAAGTCCCTTTTAAAAATTATCTACTTAATGGAAGAGGGTGATTTCTCCCTCTAGTACACTGAAGGTCCCAGATACCCGTTCAGCAGAATATTATGAAGGATACTTAGTCTCGAAGTGTTTCAGACATGCCCGAAACCACCATCATGCATCGGAACGAACTGTCCTCAATGCGACATTGCGCCCAATAACAGCCGCCGACTCTGCCCATTTCAGCTGCCGCTTTGACCTCTCCATCCAGAGAGCCCTAGTAATGGACCGGCTCCAACAACTTACCAGCCTGTGAATTAGATCTAGTTCAGGTTTATCGGGTAACTGAAGAGTTCAGAAGCCGGTTCGACGAGCATACGTCTGTTTTCGGTAAATTCCCTTCACTCCTGTACATTTGGATGGCTATTGAAACTGAGGAGTTCTGTTCGAAAAGGCCATTGTAGACAGTAGGCTTTCAGTGGCGTATTCTTACGGACCTATGAGAGCTCTTGCTAATGCAAAGCCACCGAATGGACACAACGGATCTCTTGTATGCGCAGATACAGATACAGCTGTATTCCATGTGATCGCTGCCGACTGGGACTAAGCTCGTGCCTATTTTTCCCTGCTAATTAACCTTCCTAAAAAAACCCACAAACTTCCGCTGGTACTAAGAAATCAGCCAGTTTTATGCTGGCCCGATTAGAGCTGTGCATATAATGATGATCCGGCTTCTGTTTGATGTGAAATTCATCGTGGAATCCCTTACCATTGTGGGCAGTAAGTGTATGCCTACTGAAATCAAGTCTAGTTGGGGCAACATGATGTCTTATTCCTTGAACCCCGAGTGTCCTAAGTGTCCTTGGAGTATGTTTGGTAGAAAATGTTACAGCATTGTCCTAGATGAATACTCAATGTTGACCGCTATTTTATCTCCCTGAAGGTGGTCTCCTCGCTATTATTGAGAGAGGAGAGTGGAGCTACATCAAAGAGATCTATACAATCATCGCTGAGAGCATCCTGTTGAAGGCCTGGTCGGAGCAAGTTCGACAAGCAAAGGTTAGTCGAAATAAAGACGAGTAAAAACCGCGTACTAGGGAAGCTTATTTTAAAAATGCAAATTGTTTTTCAAGAATTTCGGCAGGCACATGACGCCAACCCTTCATCCGCATATGGTTTCTATATAAAGCAGACGGATTTCGGAAAGCTGTTAAAATATTTGCAACCGTAGAGATAATGAACACTATGCGGGAGGGAGGCTTCCGACAGTACGACCGCGGACGTGCGGGACAAGAAAGGCTTTGCTCTGAACAAGATCGGGTTAAGTGTGGCTTCTCCGGCGGCGAAGCACTCTTAAGTTCATATGTCCACAGCATTTTCATATCAGCACTCTCTGACAGACGATCAGATGGGCAGAATGTCATACATTCACGTTCTCCGTCGGGCGAAATTTATCGACGAACGTGCAAAGCAGAAGAACTTGGTGGTCAACAACAGATTTGCTGATCCTACGTTGCGGCCCACATGCAGTGCTCTATGCTAACAAGCTTGGTCGAACATCCCGGATCGACTGCAGTCCATGTTTAAGTGATCCGTTGGCCGCGTGCTGTTCAATATGCTTTCATGTGTATTTAACCGTTGAAGGTTATATAAGAATAGTTTATAAGGAATCAGGACGCTAATAAGAACACGACGTCTCTGTGGGCCGGTGTGAAAATATGAAACTGCAAATCACAGTATTCTGAAAAGTCATCAAAACAAGGCAACTGGGCATTACCGACAAAGACAAGGGAGACTGGGATGGCCATTTCAGGCTTGGTAACCGTCGTCAGACAGTCATACCCAACCCCAAAATATGGAACAACAGAGGCTCGAACTCGCGACCTGTTAGTTAGAAGTGCTCGCCTCTAACCACTGGGCCACGAGCTCCTTGCCCTGTCGGTTTCGATCGGGAATATACAGTGAGCGCCCCCTACCATTGCATATTCCCGATCGAAAGCGACAGGGCAACGGGCTCGTGGCCCAGTGGTCAGAGGCGTGGACTTCTAACTAACAGTTCGCGAGTTCGAGCGTCGGGTCTTCCATACTTCGGGGTTGGGTATGACTGGCTGACGACGGTTAATAAGCCCGAAATGGCCATTCCAGTCTCCCTTGTCTTTGTCGGTGATGCTATTCTGCCTATATCATGCACCGCTGTGCGGCTGCTGGTTGGGCTCGAGAGAAAGAGAGCCCGTAAGGCACAGTGGAACGAGTGAGTTCCGTAAGAACGATCGGTGAGCGTCCCCTACCCTTACAAGGCAAATTCTACATTTCAACAATGATCGTGCTCTGTCTCACAAACGTATCTGTGTTTTCGCTCCATTCCAAAGGATTGGACGGCGCTGAGGCACATAAACAAACAAAATAGCTGATTGACTACAAATTCAATATCTCCTTAGAGCCAACGGACACCCAAGCGTTTTATCGAGCAAAATAGGCGCCAGGCGAGCAGACAACGGCCAAAGAAACAAACTTGAAGCCCAGAGAGTCGTCCTCTACGTTAAGGGAGTATTCTAGGCGGTTTCTCGTCTGTTGTAACCCACCAGAGTGGTCCTGGCCTATCGACCTCAGAAAACAGTTCGTCGCCGTTTGATTTATTCTAAGGGCACGTTACCGCCCATTGAAATCTAGGCAGTTGCATACAAGATAAATTGCAATGATAGGGATTACAGCTATGCTGGGAAATCCAGACGAAAATTCCATACCCGGCCAACAGGGGCACAAGATGACAACTCGGAGGTTAGATCCCGGACGATTTCGTCGAACGAAGCAGGCACGGCCAAAAGAGCAGCAATATGAAGAATGGAGGGACATTACCCATACCAATGCGGGCTATAAAGAGCTACGGTGAAAGCGAGCCAAGTTACGGAGTGAGGGTCACGTCAGGAATCAACAACGGTGATGAAAGTACGGTGACTGATGACTCTGATGCGGACCAACAAGCCGTCGAGAAGAAGACGCGATTGCCGGGATAAGAGCTGTATTTACCTGACGTTTCGCATTCATACTGAAACAGCTGATCGGAGATAGCTTTATGTACGGCCAACCGGTAAACAAAGCGTTGCAGTATTTACTGAACGTAATCGCTACGCGAGAGAATGCTAAACAAAATGTTGGGCTCTCCCCCTTCATCGCAGATTGCTGCCCTTGGTACGATGATCGCTTGATGGCCGGTATTCGGGCCGTTAATCGCCGTAATTTCATTACCCTTGCTGGACGTTGGCATGATAATTACTTAACCATCCAGCTCACTAGCACTGGCGCTGGAAACGGGGTTCGCCGGCGTGTCCTGCGCGTGGTCAATTATTCCGCCCAAATGTATTAATATGGAGGGGACAGGCCATTGCACTCGTTAACAGACTGCGGACCAGTGAACGAGTAGCTCGAGCCTCGTGCTATTATCACCTCTACCGAGAATGCCGGCCTCGTCGAGTGGCTGCATCCCGACGGATAAGCTGTGAATTGGAAGCTGGCATCATTTCTCCTCACTGCTGCGGCATGTTCGGCCATTCGCATCAGGCGCAGTCTTCCAGTTTCCCGAAGTATTTTCTCTGTCGCAATTGCACCATATTTGATAGGCTACTCCAGACATTTATTGCCCTGGCAGTGGGTCTTTTGGTCTCACTACCTGGCGCCTGATAGTTGCCTCCGGCCTGTATGCAATCCCGACTCCAAGTGCTGGGAGAAGGCGTCTGACGACCTCCAGTGCATTCTTAACTTACGGAGACGTTCGTCAGAATTTGGAGTCACCCTTTTTAGTGTGACCTTTATTGCATTTTCACCGACGTGAGCTTCAAGCCGTCCTTATTTCAGCCTGACACATAAAGGGAGAATCCGGTCATGTTTGGCAGCCACTGCATCCACGCTCAGCTCCAATTCTTGACTTTGTTTTGCCATCGAAGGAAATTTATGCAACAGATGCTATACAGGCCGGCCCCGCTATGAACTCATTTACAAGTGTGTCCACCGCTGCATCCGCGATGCTACTGTGTGTGCATGTTCGGTTAATTATGCGAATACCTGTGTGCGCAAATGCGGAAACATACCCGTGTCATAACATTTATGGGCGCCGTAAAGTCAGAAAGCCTGTCAAGTGGGTTTTGACAGGTGGCAACAAGGCCAGATGTTGGAGGACCGATGAATACAAGGCTTGTTCACGGTCTCCAGTGTAAGGAATCTTGGTTTTCAGACGAGACATGGGACTGGTACTGCCGAAAACAGCTGGAGGACTTGACCTTTTAGGCGTATTGTTTCTTTTACTCGGCGAAATAATGTCTGTTCCCAAGCCTGCGCTTCTAGAGGATAATAGAACGGTTTTGAGTCCATAAGAGTCTGCCTATAGTGATGCCAAAAATGTGTCTAATGGGCGCCATTGTCCTAATTTTCCCTTACCCATATCCTTTCCTTCCAGCGTACCTTGGACTTAGCACTCGGAGTCCCTCCAACCTCAAGTCAGTCTTGCGGCACGGCCTTGAGTGATTCACGGACCCCAGGGCTCTCGCCAATGTCCTCTGTGCACAGGTTCCCTGTCCCAACGGAGGCGGATACCAGGCGGACTCGCACTCTGCCTGCGTCGACCGGCCTCCTTGGCTTCCACGAGTTGCCTCGCACTACCGTGGTGAAACGCCCTACAATTCCACTGCCCAAAACGGTCGGCCGCGCTGCGGCCGAGATGAGTCGGACGGTGTCCATCCCTGACAACTTCCAACGGCAGACAAGCAGCCTGGAGGATGTGGCTTGCAGCAGCAGTGGCAGCATCAGTGACAGCATTGGCGGTCAGGTCACCGATAGTACATCCTCACGAAATAACTCTCTGAAGTCCAGCGGCACGAACACTTCGCGTGGGGAGGAGAGAGATGAGACGGATGGCCTCTGCAGGTCCGACTTCCCTGTCAGGACTGAAGTCAATGTCACCGTGGGAAGTGAAAAACGCAAGGGGGTGACGAGCGTGGTCTAGGATCACGACCGCCGCCCGAGCTCACATCGACTACCAGCTCAGCTTGCAACGGCACTGTATAACAAAAACTCTGTAACATAGCTCGCTTTCGCCAGGAAGTGCGCGCGAAATTCACTTCAATGATTTTTTTTATTTAAATAGGACAGAGTAGACTGTTTTTTTCTTGTAATCCTCAAATAACTGCCCCTAGGTGCTGGTGGATGTCTATATATTTTCCGGCTTCGCAAGTGTCTCAGCAACGCCGAAAAGTGCACAGCAGATGGTGCATCTCATGAAACATCAACCGTGATTCTGAAATGTGATCTTGGCTAGAAATGATTACTTAGGTGGAGATATGATATGGAGAATCATTCGACGTAATCCAAAGATGTTACATTCAAGCTGGAATGGCGGCTTTCGCCCGCCCTCCCGGTCGCTTGCAAAAATTCCACCTGTTACAAATAGCTACTTAAATAGCAGGATCTTTTTACGCTAACTTTTGATGAACTGATAAATTGAAACGCACTTTACGGACAGCGTGCTCAAAAATAGTTTCGTATTTATTTTGCGGGAGAATGACGTCTTCTCCAAATTTTACACGTGAAAAGTTGCCTCCTGCAGTTTCTAAAGGGTTTTTCTATTTCCGAGGAATTCCAAACCCGATACGCCATTTGGCTTCCATGTAGCACATTTTCTCCTCAAAGAGAATTATACATTTCGCTACGCTAGCAAAGTGTCATATGCGATTTGTAAAATTGTGCGATCGATTTGGGCCACGTTGCATGCTTCACGAAGAGCATTAATAAACAGATAGACATTAGGCTATTAATAGGGGCATTTTACAGTCTTAAATACTTTCATGAAAGACTTTTGAACCGAAAAAATACAGTTTACTCGACATAACCTACTGCACACTTAGTACAAGGATGCTTTGATGCATGTTATATGTAAAAATAATTGATTAAGGGGCCAGAAAGGCAGAAAACGACGTTGTTGAGAGAGGAATCCTAGAAAGCTGTCTACACCATTTATGTAAAAAGCACGCAGCTTCCCCTATGGGCCCTGCACTGGGCTTCTAGGCGCAATATGACGAGCATTGGTGAACCACTCTCGCGCAGTGTAGGTGATATTCGGGTTTACAACGCACAGTATAACGGGCCCTGGCTTAACGGACGAGCGTTGGACTCGAGACAATGAGAAAAAGTTCAGATGTCAATCCCAGGTAATGTTGTCATGGCGACCTGTTGATCATGAGAGAAATGATAAGCTCCAGTTTCCTCTGCTTTTGCCAGTATTTATTCTGCAATATTACAGTTGGACGACCTAACTTATGAAAGATGCCTAAATTAACAAAAAATCACTAACCAATCTGAAAGTAGCTCGAACGCACCTACGAAAGAACCAAACTAATGACGAACGACCTCCACTTAGATGAAAATGCAAAATGAGCAGTCCAGGCGCTATTTCGTTCATTAGAAATACCAATGTTCTTAGGAGAAGAGGGTATGCTAAGGACGCGAAAATGCGTGTCAAATGAGTAAACTCAATTTTCAGAAGACATAAAGAACTTCCATGCAAATAACTGACTACATAAAACGGTATAAGTAAATGGAAGTTTAAAAAACTGTCCTCTTTACGTATATTTACGGCAAATATCTTCCGAAAGTTGATGTCACATGAAGTCTGCCACAAAGTCAGGTGCGTAATATCTGTTCATGTGTTCCAAGGTCGTACTGTACGAAATCCACACAGTTTTTCCGATTTTACATTGTGAGAGATGTGCAGTGGGGATTTCGATGAGAAGTCATAGGAATAAAAGACTTTATAAGGGTGCAGTTGGCAGGCTGGCCAGTGACTAATACATTTAAATAAAATTAGCGGACACAGTAGCAAGCATATCCTTTTCCGGGTATCAAGAGGACTTTTTCGCGAAATTGACGTGCGAATCTTGGAATGGTGAAGCCCGATGAGTTTTAGGGTGTCCTTAAAATGTCAATGAATACTGTACGGTTTTCAGCGTTCTCCATTGACTGATCAAAATGATAGGTTCTGTGCTGTGCTTGTCGAGCCCTTCAAAATAAGACATTGCTTGAAGGCATTCACCGAAGTAGGGACTTCTGCGTCATCCCTTTATGTGCAGATGGCTGGTCGGGTCACAGTTGAGGACTCCCCAAACACGAAACCCCACTGTCGTTAGAAAAAGGAACGTCCACAATAAAATTCAGCGACACTTTCCGACCGGGATTAGGCGAATAAGCGAAATGCGCAACAATTTAGGCGCCTAAAAAAGATCCTCTTGAGTTTCGTCATACACTGTGCGGCTGCCCGCGGGAGCGCCATGCTGGGCTCAGAGGCACAACGGGAAGAGCATTCGGTCTCAAGCGATTGCTGTACTTTTCGCTATTCCGCGAATATCTTACAAAATTTACGCCATTTCAGCCCTTCTAAGTAAGGAATTATGGCAGTCATGTAACGCTGTGTCTGGTGAGTATGGTGGCTGGGGTTTTATGATAACTTGCCGCCTCGCCAATAAGGAGCTAATCAAAACATCATCATAAGTCTGCACGAAATATCCAAGGGTTCTTTCTCAAATTCCTAAATCGCTTCTTCCGCCGTTACTCTATGTGGAAGTGCTCCTTGACCGTTCGACTTTAAAGTCCGCTGTCCCCTTTCGTGTGCAAATTTACGCAAGTCAAGGAAGCGTATTAATATGACCGTCAACATGGGTCCACCTTTGGTTTAGTCTCAGGCTTCGAAAAAAACGGCAGCCATTCGGATGACAAACGCTTTGTCCAAATTTTAAAATAATAAAGCAAAGTCTGCGCTATTACGAGGGTGTTTGTCTAAAATTCGTGATAAGTCTGTAAACATCCAAACAGATCTATATATTATCAGTTCTCCAGCCATATTACGGAAATGGCAGTAGGGTTTAAACCGGTAATTTGAAGTATTTGTCGCCCGCGAAAGGTGAGCTCTGCGATAGCTTAATGGGAAGATTGGTATCTTGCACAGCCGGGGAGGTCTTGTACTATCGAAACTAAAACTGCGCAAAAAGTCAGAATGAGGCTCAATATGCTCGCCACGTTTGTCCGGTATACGTCATGGCTTATAACGGCTGTAAGGTTTGTAGCGTCTGCAATGCCTTTATCCAGCAAACAGTGGCCCTCGCAGCCCGGTATGCGCTGGCAGTTCTCTGATCCCTGGTTCCCTGTCGGTAGACGCGCTTGCGCTTCCGGTGGGTATACAGGTCTTGGGAATGGCTGCACAGTCATCCTCGTCTTTCTGACCAGTTGTGGTGCTGTCGTTGTTGGTTAAAATCCTGGTTGTGTTTGTTGGTGGCACGCCTAGGTGCGGGTCCGGCCGTGGCAGCCACCTGCGACCTCTCCTGCTTCCGGTCTTCTTGAATGTACTTGTACTTGATACGGCTGCGATCATGCCTGATCTAGCCGGCCTCGATGATGTCCCGAACTGTATCTCACCACGCGTGACGATCCGCGGCAGCAGATCTAGACAGCTCAAACCATTCCCCTCGCCAACGACGGAGACCGAATACCGAAGGTCCAAGAACGACCTCCATGTCTTGACGGACAGTGTCGAGCCAGGGTTTGAACTGACCCCCTCTTCGACGCCTCCAATGGGGACAACGGTGACGGATCGAGGGCAGTAACACTGAGCTCCTGAGGTGGACGACGAAGAACATGCCCGAGACACCTCAGTCGTCTTTCTTGGATGGCCTGAGTTATCCTTGCGATGTTGTCACAGCGAGCGCGGACTGTCTCATTTGAGACGAAGTCCGTTAACTTCACTCGAAGGATGATCCTCAAGCAGTGGTGGTCAAAGACCTCCAGTTTTCACTCGTCCTCCACGCGCAAAGCCCAGCATTCACAACCGTAAAGAAGGACAGACCGGACAGATGCACGGTACACGCGAATCTTAGTGGCGATGGAGAGGTCACGTCGCTTCCACAGGCATTTCCGAAGGCTTGAAAAAACCCAGCGGGCAGCATCGATTCGGGAGACAATGTCATCCTTACTCTGTCCATTAGGCAGCAGCCTCGCCCGAAGGCATTTAAAACTGTCTACCTCCTCAAGATGACAGCCATCAATCCCCAGGGGTGCCTTCTCCTGGTCAGGGATGCAGCTTGAGAATACTTCCCAGCGTTTATGGAAAGACCGACTGATTTAGCGACCTCGTTCACTCGTGACACCATAGACCGCAGATCACCAAAACTTGAAGCAAGTAAGGCGATATCATCGGCATAGTCAAGATAAGTCAGTCGATGTCCGGGTGCAAATTCAACACCGTCACTCTCGCGTCGGGCCCTCTCGAGGATCCAGTCAATAGCGTAGTTGAACTGTATTGGTGACAGGATACAAACCTGTCGGACGCCAGACCGAATACCGAACGGTTGGGAAAGATTGTTGCGGACCAGGACTCTTGCAGTGGTGGAGCGATAATAGGCCTTGAGCATGGCGATGATTTTTGCCGGTACACCGTCTAACGCCATTATCCGCCACAGGGACTCACGGTAAACGGAATCGAACGCGGCGGCAAAGTCAACGAAGCAGACGGCCGTCGGTTGTTGGTAGCTATGGCGAAATTCGAGAATGCGCCTCAGTGTGAATATCTGATCTGCGCATCCACGTCCAGCACGAAATCCGGCTTGGTTGAGCCTCGTCCTGGAGTCACGCACAGCCTGGAATCGTCCGAGTAGGACAATAGCGAAGATCTTCGCAGCAACGTCGATGAGACTTATGCCGCGGTAGTTCTCGCATCTCGTCTTATCTCCCTTCTTGAGGATAGGTACAAGGATGCCTAAGCCCCAGTCATCAGGAACAACCTCGTCTCTCCACGCTCGTTC